ATTAGGCTTTTTCTTTTTTCACTTTCGGTCTCACTCTGTTACCCAGACTGGAGTGCAGTGACACAAACACAGCTGACTGAAGCCTTGACCTCCTGGGCTTAAGCAATCCTCCCACCTCAGCCTCCCAAGTAGCTAGAGCTGCAGGTGCACACCATCATGCCCAGCTAATTTTTAAAAAAGTTATTTTGTAGAGACAGGGTCTTGCTATGTTGCATAGGCTGGTCTCGAATTCCTGAGCTCAAGCAATCCTCCAACCTCAGCCTCCTATATCATTGAGATTACAGTAGTCAGCCACCACACCTGGCCTATAATTAAGTTTTAATGTTATAGTATATCCATGCATGTGGATTGAGACTGAAGTAGAAATTAACAAAACCCCAAAATAATCATAGATACTGATTGAGCTTTGAGTATTCTCCATTTTTATGTAGACAGTGTATATTTATATGAATTATAGTGCATCATGTTAAATGGAAACATGATATTCTTCTTGTGGTTTAGAAGCCACAAGGTAAAAGTATTTGTATGGATGCTGAATATCCAGAGTGGACTGTGCTAGAAGTCAACATGACCCCACTCTTCTAAGCTATCCCCTGGGCCATGAGTTTGGAAGCCCGAAAACTGCATTTCCCAGACTCCCCTGCTAGCACAGATCAAGTGCAGTTTCTGCAAATGAGAGGAACTTACACACAATTTGGAAGGCATAAGGGAAGGAAAGGCAATTTTTCTTGTGCTATTGTGGTACAATACATACATATTTTGATCTTTGTTATTTCCTGGCATACTGCTCCTAAAACTCTTGGAATTTCTAAACTGATATATGTCTTTTTGCAAAGTAATGAGAAGACTGATGGCTAGGGGGTGGAGAGACTCTTGGGTAGCTTCAGGATGTGGGCAGGTTTCCAGGGGTACCACTATATGATTAGAGGTTTGGAACTTTCAGCCTCACCCAGACTTCCCAGGAAGGGAGAGGGACTAAAGGTTGAGTTAATCACTAATAGTCAATGGTTTAATCAATCAGACCTATATAATGAAGCCTTCATAAACCCCCAAAAGGACAGGGTTTACAGAGCTTCTAGGCTGCTGAATATGTGGAGGTGCTGGGAGGGTGGTGTGATGGAAGCTCCACATCCCTTTCCATATGCCTTGTCCTACGTATCTCTTCCATCTGGCTGTTCCTGAGTTGTATCCTTTTATAATCAATCAGTAATCTAGTAAGTAAACTGTTTTCCTGAGTTCTGTGAGCCATCCTATCAGAAGATCAAACCCAAGGAGAAGGTTGTGAGGACCAGACCACTGAATTATAGCTGGTTGGTCAGAAGTATAAGCAAAAACCTGGACTTGCAATTGGCATCTTGAATGGGTGCAGTATTGTGGGACTGATACCTTAACTCATGGGATCTGATGCTATCTTCAGGTAGACAGTGTTAGACTGACTTACTTTTTTGTACATCCAGTTGGAGTCCACAGAGAATTGGAGAATTGCTTAGTATGGGGAAAAACTCATATAACTGGTGTCAGAAGTTGTATTCAGCCATTTCTGCATTGCTATAAAGGAATACCTGAGATCTGGTAATTTATAAAGAAAAGAAGTTTAATTAGCTCATGGTTCTGCAGACTATAGAGAAAGTATGGTGCCAGCCTCTGCTCAGCTTCTGGTGAGAGCCTCAGGAAATTCATAATCATGATGGTAGGCGAAGTGGGAGTAGACATTTCATATGGTGAGAGGGGCAAGAGAGCAGGGAGAGGTGTCACATACTTTTGTTTATTTATATTTTAAATTTTATTTATTTATTTATTTACTTATTGTGACAGGGTCTGGCTCTGTTGCCCAGGCTGGAGTGCAATGGCGTGATCTCAGCTCACTGCAACCTCCACCTCCCAGGTTCAAGCCATCCTTCCTCAGCCTCCTGAATAGCTGAGACTACAAGTGCATGCCACCACACCCAGCTAATTTTTGTATATTTTTTTGTACAGATGGATTACTCCATGTTGCCAAGGCTGGTCTCAAATTCCTGAGCTCATAAGATCAAACTGCCTTGGCTTCCAAAACTGCTGGGATTACAGGCATGAGCTATCATGCCTGGATACATACTTCTAAACAACCAGATTTCATGAAGTGCCCACTCACTAACATAAGGAGAGCACCAAGCCATTCATGGGGGACACATTCCTATGACCCAAATGCCTTCCCTCAGGCACCACCTCCAACAATGGGGATTACATTTCAATATGAGATTTGGAGGGAACAAAGATCCAAACCATATCATTCCACCTACGACTCCTCAAATTGCATGTCTTTCTCACACTACAAAATACAATCATCCCCTACCAATAGTCCCCAAAAGTCTTAACTCATTCCAGCATCAAGTCCAAAGTCCTAAGTCTCTTCTGAGACTTATCTCCTTCCACTTATGAGCCTGTAAAAATCAAAATAGTCATTTACTCCCAAGATACAATGGTAGTACAGGCATTAGGTAAACATTACAATTCCAAAAGGGAGAAATTAACCAAAAGGAAGAGTCAACAGGCCCCATGCCAAGTCTAAATCCTAGCAGAGCAGTCATTAAATCTTAAAGCTCCAAAATACTCTCCCTTGACTATATGTCCCACATCCAGGGCACAATAGTACAATGGGTAGGCTCCCAAGGCCTTGGGTAGCTCTTCTGTGGCTTTGCAGGCCACAGCCTCTGTGGCTTATCTCACTGGTTGGAGATGGGTGTCTGAGGTGCAGAGTGCAAGCTGCCTGTAAATCTACCATACCGGGGTCTGAAGGGCAGTGGCCCATTTCTTATAGCTCCATTAGGCAGTGCCCCAGTGGGGACTCTGTGTGGGGACCCCAACCCCACATTTCCCCTTGGCATTGCCCTAATAGAGCTTCTCTGTGAGGACTCTGCCCCTATGGCAGTGTTCTGCCTGGGCACCCAGGCCTTCTCACAAATCTAAGTGGGAGCTTCCAAGCCTCCTCCACTCTTGCGTTCTATGTGTCGATAATACCACATGGAAGCCACCAAGGCTTATGGCTTGCATCCTCTGGACAGGCAGCCTGAGCTGTATCTGGGGTCCTTTGAGCCGCAGCTGGAGCTGTAGTAGCCAGGATCCAGCGAGCAGTGTCCTGAGGCTGAGTAGGGCAGTGGTACCCAGTTCTTGGCCCCCTAAACCATTCTTTCCTCCTAGGTCTGTGGGCCTGTGATGATAGGGGCTGTCTCCAAGGATTCTGAGGTTGCCTTTTAGGCCTTTTCCCCATTGTCTTGGATATAAGAGCTTGGCTCCCTTTTAGTCATGCTAGTTTCTCTAGCAAGTAGTTGCTCCATACCCTGCTGGGATTCTTTCTGTGCCACATGGCCAGGCTGCAAATTTGCTGAACTTTTATGCTGTGCTTCCTTTTTGAATTTAAGTTTCAACTTTAAGTCATTCCTTTGCTCCCACATCTGATCATAGGTTGTTACAAGGAGTCAGGCCACATCTTGAATGCTTTCCTGCTTAGAAATTTTTTCTGCCAGAGACCCTAAATCACCACTCTTAAGTTCAAATTTCCACAGATCCTTGGTACATAAACACGATGCAGGAATTCTTTGCGAGGGCGTAACACGAGTGACATTTATTCCAGTTCCTATTAATTTCCTCGTTTCCAACTGAGACCTTACTAGGCTGGCCTTCACTGTCTATATTTCTATCAGTATTTTGTTTACAACCATTTAACCAGTCTCTAAGAAGTTCCAAACTTTCTTTTTTTTTTTTTTTTTTTTTGAGACAGGCTCTTGCTGTGCCACCCAGGCTGTAGTGTAGTGGCATGATCATGGCTCACTGCAACCTTGACCTCCCAGTTCAAGTGATCTTCCCACCTCAGCCTCCTGGGTAGCTGGTACTGCAGGTCCATGCCACCATACCTGGCTAATTTTTTATTTTTTTGTAGAGACAAGGTCTCACTATGTTTGCCCAGGCTGGTCTCGAACTCCTGGCCTCAAGCAATCCTCCTGCCTCAGCCTCTTAAGCGCTGGGATTACAGTTGAGGGCCATTCATTGCTCCTGGTCCTCCTGTCTTCTTCTGAGCCCTCCAAACTTTTCCATTCTCTGCCTGGTACCCAGTTCCAAAGTTTCTTCCACATTTTCAGGTATCTTTATAGCAATGCCTCACTCCTCAGTACCAATTTTCTGTGTCAAGCTGTTCTTGCACTGCTATAAAGAAATACCTAAGCCTGGGTGATTTATAAAGAAAAGAGGTTTAATTGGTTTACAGGTATGCAGACTATACAGGAAGCATAGTATCAGCATCTGCTCAGCTTCTGGTGAGGGCCTCAGGAAGCTAACAATCATGGTGGTAGGTGAAATGGGAGCAGACATGTCACGTGGTGAGTTGGAGCAAGAGAGAGCGGAGAGGTACCACACATTTTAAACATCTAGATCATGCAATAACTCATTATCAGATCTGAGCCATTTATGAGGAACACATCCCCATGATGAAAACACCTCCCCCAAGCCCCACCTCCAATGATGGGGATTACATTCCAGCCTGAGATTTGCAGAGGAGAATCATCCAAACTAGATCAGAAGTGAAGTATTAAGAGTGGTATAAGTATAGAAAGAAGAAACAGGTTTGTTTGTTTTTTACCGCCCAACAGTTCTCTAGCACTAGCAGATGGCTAAAAGGGCAGACAACAGATGAGACAGGAGCTTCAGGAGAGTTGCTGCAAATTCTCTACTTTGATGCTGCAAGAGGTGGCTTCTCTGTGATTTCTGAACTTCTGGACTTACTGAAAGCCAGCAGCAGTCCTTTCTGACTCTTCTCTCCCCTGGTCCCTTCAAACTGTTTTGTAAGCTCTTATTCCCTGTGTTAAATCTCTTCTTGTTTGAAATACCTAGAGTAGCTTCTGCTCTCCTGACTGAACCCTGACTAAACAACAAAGTTTAGTAAAGTGGTAGAGACTCAAGAACAGCTAACTATTACTCAGGTCTATGGGAATAGGAAAAGTGAGAAGCATGTCTATTTACTTTCTTACCTCATCATATTTTCTTTTCTCATTTTCCAGTTGTGAAAGTAGGGCCTCTTGTTGCTGAATTCTGGATTGTTGCTGAGAACAGGTCATTTCCAGGAGATTTTCTTTATCTTTTAAGGTTCTCACTTGCCTGTGTAACTCATCTACATTCTGATACAGGAGTTTCCTAAGGGCAATTAATGTACATTAAATCACACTATGAATTGCATATGAAACTTAGACCTAAAAATTGTGTGGCATCAAAATGGATTTTTTTTTTTTTTTTTGGTTCAATGAAGTAGGGTATGTGTCTGTAAGTTAAAGGGACCAACACAGGGAACCTCTTTTGTGATAGAAGCTTTTCTATGAGGAAAAAGTAATTGTTCTTATTTCAGAGATAAGGAAGTTGTGTACAGAGAACAGTTAAAACAAGGTAGAGGTAGGGCTTGAATCCTGAATCCCATATTCTTTCTTCCTTACTAGTTTACTAGCTGAGCCCTTTATCTTCTGGGTTCAAGATAATGTTAGTTACAAACACTATTGATACTAATGAGCACACATTAACACTGCTACAAATGAATCATAAATGAGCCTGCATTTTATAAATTTACCATTTTCCAAAAGAGGGTAAAAGAATTCAGAGAATTTTACCCCAAATACGGTATCCTGGTATACTAAATAGTTTGAATGAAAGACCCTTAGAGATCAGCAGATACTAGAAGAGGCTTTTCTCTTATCTGCATGAAGACTGGACTTACCAAGGAGAACAATTATCTCCCATCACCTCCCTGAAATCTCATTATTTATCTATCTTCGGAAAAGAAGATTGAGGAATGTAACAACACCTCCACAGACCTTTTCACAAGATAATAGCTGTCTCTGAAACTAATTCAAATTCCAAGGAGAATAATTTATGAATTAATTTCTGTCTCCAGGGTCCCTTCATTCTCCTGAATGAGCTACTGTCCCTTGGAATTGTCTGCATTCCCCGTCTCCCTCTCCCTGGAAACAGGTATATAAGCTTCTGTAACACAGTTGGATATTGGGTCTTCACACTTGATTTTCCCCAGCCCATGTTAACAAAATTGTGTTTGCTTTTTCTCCTATTAATCTGCCTTTTGTCAGATGACTTTTTTGATTTATTAAATAAATTGTGACATATCATTAAAATAGTATTCTAGAAAAAATGTAAGATAAATGGATCATAATATTTTAAGTGAAAAAGTAGATGACAATCTAACTATCTAAATCAGGGTCACTTTCTTCCAGATTATAAAACAACATAAATTATAGAATCCCCTTTTGGTGGGAGAATTTCCCTATATATTTTATTTTCCTGCACTTAGATAAATAGTGCATACATATTTTTTCTTAGCAAATCTTCACAAAAGATATATAGAACTGGTGTTACAATTCCCACTTTAGAGATAAGGAGGACAGTCTGCCATCCTGCTAGAAGTGGCAGTTGAGACAAGTATTTTTCCAAAGCAGCTCACGGAGTGAATTCATTGTTTATTTATACATAAATTAATTCATTCACTTAATCAAACATTCATTCATTCATTCATTCAATAAGTATTTATTATCTATTGAGTGCCTTAGGCTAGAGTTTTCGACAAGAGCTGAAAGTAAGTTTCTGAGCTACAGCGTATATGTGAACACCAGCACATCTTTTTAGTGGCTAAAATCATATTTTTTCTTAAAATATACATGGATCGGGGAGCCACGGTGGCTCTGGCCAGTTGTCCTGCCACTTGGGGAGGAGAGGCTATGCGTTCAAGGCCAACCTGGGCAAAATTAAGAAACTCTCATTCATTAAAAAAAAAAATAGATAGATAGATAGATAGATAGATAGATAGATAGATCACAATGGAGTACTATTCAGCCATAAAAAAGAATGAAATCCTGTCATTTGTAGCAACATGGATAGAACTGGAGGTTCTTATGTTAAGCGAGATAAGCCAAGCACAGAAAGCAAATATTGCATGTTTTCACTCATATATGGGAATAAAAAAAGTTGATCTCATGGAAGTAGAGTAGAATGACAGTTACCAGAGGCTGGGAAGCAGGGGAATGAAGAGAGGTTGGTTAATGGATACACACATACAGTTGGATAAAAGGAATATGTTTTAGTGTTCAATAGCACAGTAGGATGACTAAAGTTAACAATAATTTATTGTATATTTCAAAAGCACTAAAAGAAAAGCTTTGAAATGTTCCCAACACAAAGAAATGATAAATGTTTGATGTGATGGCTATCCCAAATACTGTGATTTGATCATTATACACTGTATACATGTATAAAAATATTATATGTACCTCATAAATATGTATAATTATGAATAACAAGCAAAGCATCAGTTACTGAAGTTTAGGGCATCCAAGAAGATGCTTTAAGTAAGAATCATCATAATAATCATAATCATTTTAGAAAACAAATATATGACAGCTCTTACCTGGTAGCAGTTTGTTGATGGTTAAGACACCTATAAAGTACCTGTAACTGTTTTGAAGAAAATCAGCTTATAAATATGAGGGGTCTTTAAAAAGTTAACGGAGTGCCGGGCGCGGTGGCTCAAGCCTGTAATCCCAGCACTTTGGGAGGCCGAGGCAGGTGGATCACGAGGTCAAGAGATCGAGACCATCCTGGTCAACATAGTGAAACCCCGTCTCTACTAAAAATGCAAAAAATTAGCTGGGCATGGTGGCGCATGCCTGTAATCCCAGCTACTCAGGAGGCTGAGGCAGGAGAATTGCCTGAACCCAGGAGGCGGAGGTTGCGGTGAGCCGAGATCGTGCCATTGCACTCCAGCCTGGGTAACAGGAGCAAAACTCCGTCTCAAAAAAAAAAAAAAAAAAAAAAAAAAGAGTTAATGGAAAATGAATATTATGAAAAAACTATGCGTGGATTTAAATTTATTTTGCACCAAAATAAATTTGTACTAACCTGTCATAACATGTCTGAACACAATCCAGTTTAAGGCACTAAGGATAAGGTATCAGTTTGAAAAGAGCTACTATCAGAGCAACATGAATTCTGCTAAAACTGAAGCAAGAACAAACATTAAATATATGAAGAAATTAGGGGGAAGAATGGTGACACTTTAATGAAAAGTTTAAAGAGACAGTACCTTAAAGAAATCAGCAGTTTACAAATGGATGTCATTTTAAGAAGAGATGAGATGATTTTGAAGATGAAGCCTACAGTGCCAGACCATCCAAATCAATTTACAAGGAAAAAAATTAATCTTTTTTTTGTGCCCTAATTGAAGAAGACTGATGATTAGCAACAGAAACAATAGCCAACATCATAGACATCTCAACTGATTCAACTTACTGAAATTCGGACAGATAAAGTTTGGCAAACTTTCCACTTGATGGGTGCCAAAACTGTTGCATTCAGATTAGCTACAGACAGGAGCAAAGCTTTCAATAGGAATTTTAAACTAGTGGGATGAAGCATTTCTTTGAAGAATTGTAACAGGAGAAGAAACATGGCTTTACCAACGATACTGAAGACAAAGCACAATCAAAGAAATGGCTACTAAGAGGAGGAAGTGGTCCAATCACAGCAAAAGTGAGTCAAGAGCAGAGGTCATACCAACAGTTTTTTGTGATCCTCAAAGGATTTTGTTTATTGACTTTCTAGAAGTCCAGATACCATATTTATTATAAGAGTGTTTTGAGAAAGGTAGCCAAAGCTTTATTTTTTAAAAATGTCTAGGAAATCTTCACCAGAGAGTCCTTCTCTACCATGACAATGCTCCTGCTCATTCCTCTCATCAAATGAGCAATTTTCCAAGAGCTTTGATGGGAAATTAGGCATCCACCTTACAGTCCTGATTTGGCTCCTTATGACTTACTTTTGTTTTCCAATCTTAAAAAATACTTAAAAGGCACTCATTTCTCTTTGCTTAATAATCTGCAAAAGACTGCAATGACATTGCTAAATTCCCAGGATTCTCACTCAGTTCTTTAGGGATGGACTAAATGGCTTGAACTATCACTTACAAAAGGGCCTGGACCTTAATGGAGCTTATGTTGAGAAATAAAGTGTTTTTTTTTTTTTTTTTTTTTTTTTTTGACAGGGTCTCATTCTGCCACCCAGGCTGGAGTGCAGTGTTGCAATCACGGTTCACTGCAGCCTCAAACTCCTGGGCTCAAGTGATCTCTTGCCTCAGCTTCCTGAGTAGCTAGGACTACAGGACTGTACTGTCATGCCTGAATAACTTTTTTTTCCTCCTACCTCAGCATCCCAAAGTGCTGGGATTACAGGTGTGAGCCACTGCATCAGGCCAACATATTTTTTTATTTTATCTTTCAATTCAATTTTTCCACAAACTTTCTGAAGTCCCCTTGTATAAAACATCAACTTCATTGTAGTCTAAAGTTTGTCAGAGTACATGTTAGAGCAAATTCCAGAGGGTTTCATACGCACGTCAGTCAAGAATATTTACTGTTACATTAGGTGTGTCCCAGAACAAATAATCTCTGCCTTTAAGAATCTCACACTTTAGTGCCAAAAATAAATTAGAAAATGAACAATTAGGTGCCAGGTGCAGTGGCTCACACCTGTAATGCCAGCACTTTGGGAGGCCGAGGCGAGCAGATCACAAGGTCAGGAGTTCGAGACCAGCCTGGCCACTGTGGTGAAACCTCCGTCTCTCCTAAAAAAAATACAAAAAATTAGCCAGGCATGTGGTGTGTGCCTGTAATCCCAGCTACTCAGGAGCCTGAGGCAAGAGAATTGCTCGAACCCGGGAGGCAGATGTTGCAGTGAGCTCAGATCGTGCCACTGTACTCCAGTCTGGGCGACAGTGCGAGACTCCATCTCAAAACAAAACAACAACAACAACAAAATAAAACAAACAAACAAAAAAGAAAATAAACAATTAGAATACAGTGCGATAAGTGCAATACATCAGGAATTGTGTGGCCGAGTTTACTTCAGTGGGGACAGAACAGAAATACTCTCTGATATTTTGTTAGAGTAAATGATATTGCTGATTAACTCGGTCATGGCTAAACCCACAGGAAACAGATCTGTGCTCCTCTTACCTCTTCTGTTGTTCTTCTTGATACTGTTGCTTTACTTTAGCTTCATTTTCTGTTGCTTCTTTTATCTTTTCCTCTAGCTGCTTCTTCTCTGAAATACAACTGTCTGTGAGACAGACTTTATGAGCATGTTCTAATTTCTGCTGCAGGTCCAAAATCTTGGAAGGAAAAAAGTTTACAAATAGAGCATTAAGAACAGTGTGACTTTTTCCAAATTAGCAGAATACCAAACAAATAGTAAACATAGCAGTGCTAACATATTAATCTGACCTGAAGTAAAGAGAGTAGCTAGATTTAATTTTAAAATAAATTGTTTAATTTTGCAGTATGTAACACATTCATATGGTGTGTATAAAAGAAGCTATAGGCCAGACATGGTGGTTCATGCCTGTAATCGCAGACTGTGGGCAGCTGAGCTGGGTGGATCGCTTGAGCCTCAGGAGTTCGAGATGAGCCTGTGCAACATGGTGAAACCCTATCCCTACAAAAAAATATAAAAATTAGCTGGGCATGGTGGTCAGTGCCTATAGTCGCACTTACTCAGGAATCTGAGGTGAGAGGAATCAACTGAGCCCAGGGAAGCTGAGGCTACAGTTAGCTATGATTGTGCCACTGCACTCCATCCTGGGTGACAGAGTGAGACCCTATCTCAAAAACAAACAAACAAACAAACAAACAAACAAACAAATAGAAGCTATATAGTGAAAAGTCTCCTTCCCATCCCTGTTCTACGTCCTCCAAATTTTCCTCCACCAAACAGATGACTGTGGTTTTTAATTTCTTGTGTACCCTTCCAGAGATTTATTTATACACATATAAACACATATAGTTATCACGCATACACATAAATTTTATACAAATGATGACATACTATACTATATGTAATTAGGCACCTTGTTTTTTTTATAGCAATAAGCATTTGGTCATTTTTCCATATTATATGCACATATTGAGTTGTCTTCTCTTTTATAGTTGCATTCCACTCCACTGTAAGGATATACCATAACTTATTTCACCAGTGCCCTACTGGTGAACATTTAAGCTGATTCCAAACTTTTTCTATTATAAACAATACTATTACAAACAATGTCTGTAGATTAAATTATGAGATTTGAATTTACTAGGGCAAAGGTTATGAGTATTTGTTTGTTGGATAGATAATGCCAAACTGCCTCCACAGGTATTAGATCAATTTATGCTTCCAAAAGCACTGTGTGAGTGCACCTAGTTTCTCCACAGTGTGGCTAGATTCACGAATAACACCACAAAACAAAGCAAAAGTCCCTTATAAAGCAAGCACCTATTAGCATATTGCTTAGCATCAATAATAGGTTCTTTAAGGCTCTGGGAAAACTAAAAATATGATGCATGAATTTGAAAGAGAGACAGATAGTTATATTTCAGAGTTTATATGCTAGATTTAAAGTGTCATTTAAAAACATTTTTTCTTGCCTTTTTCATGTAGTAGCAAAAAACCACCACATTTTTGTTAATTTTCTTTAAATGTGTTTTTAGTTATTTTTATAAACACTTGTGTCACCTTAAATAGTGTCTGGTACATAGTAGGTGCTCAATAAATACTTGTTGAATGAATAAATTTCAGCAGGGTAGCTGTTATCCCTCTAATGTATTCCTGACCCAATAAGGAATCCTTTACAATGGCTTGGCATCACATTTCCCATGAATATTCAGTGAATGCCAGTGGGTGGCACCTGTTTTCTAAGAGAGGGGCTTTCTGCATCCATCCCAAGCCCTTGTGCATAGGTCTCTGCATAGCCTGCACAGCTTGAGAGAGGTGAAGATGCAGAATGATTCAAGGGCAATGGCAGTAGGCAGCCAGCCATCTGAGGCCAGCTCAAGTTCCCTGGCACTGTTCTATTTGGTTCTGTCTAGGGAGACTTCTTACTTAAGGAATGCAGTACTAATTCCACAGACAAAAGCATCACCTCATTGGCTTCTCTGTCAAGGATACATGCCAAACTTTTGAACCTGCCACAAAATTTAAGAAAGGGAACATTTCCAATACTTTTGAAGCCCCTCGGTGACCCTCTTTGATTATCCCTCTTCCCTCCCAACCAGAGAAAACCAATATCCTGCTATGTTAATCACATCCTTGCCTTTTCTTTTTAATAATCTCTCTCTATATAGATATATGAATAGATATATGATAGGTTTTTTGTTTGTTTGTTTTGTTTTTTGAGACAGGGTCTTGCTATATCACCCAGGTGATCACCTGCCTTAGCCTCCAGAATAGCTGGAACTACAGGCACACACTACTATGCCCAGCTAACTTATTTATTTTTGTAGAGTCTCACTATGTTGCTCAGGCTGGTCTTGAACTTTGGGCTCAAGTAATCCTCCCACCTCATCCTCTCAAAGGGCTGGGATCATAGGTATGAACCACCATGCTAATAGTTTTTATTTTGACTTTTTAAAATCTATGGAATCATACTGTATTTTTGGTGACTTAAAAATTTTTATTGTATTGAACTACAATATGTACCTATAGTTCACTCATTTTCATTGTTGCATGCTATTGTTACTGGGGCAGCCCTGATGAAATAACTGAGAAAGTTCTTTTTTTTTTTTTTTACTGTTTTTCTTTAGTCCCTTTATTTAAAGGCATAATTGCTTAAAGAAACTGACAGCCTGGAATGGCACCAGAATATATTGACCCCTAATGAGATACAAGAGGAAGATAAGAACTTGCAAATTAGAGCAAACTGAGGACCCCTAGTTGCCTTTAAGTCATTAACATATCATTATAATGCTCAAATTCCCGCCTCTAAAAGAAAATATCCTCCAGTTTGTATACGTGTTGTATGAAGATGTGTGTTTATACATGGAGCCTGTGCATCTGCAGTCCCGCCCTGCACATGCTAACATTCCTCTTCCACCCTGCACCCAGTCCTTAAAAACCCTATGCCTTCTCTTGTTCAGGGAGAAGGAGCCTATCCTCCATTCCTGGCCAGTGAGTAAAACCAGTCTACCTACCTTCTTTTCTTCCTTCCTTCCTTCCTTTTTCTTTCTTTATTTCCTTTTCTTTTCTCCTTCCTTCCTTTCTTCCTTCCCTCCTTCCCTCCCTCCCTCTTTCCTTCCTTCCTTCTTCTTTCTTTCCTTTTCTTTTTCTTTTCTCTCTCCTTCCTTCCTTCCTTCCTTCCTTCCTTCCCTCCCTCCCTCCCTCCCTCCCTTCCAACAGAGTTTTGCACTTATCACCCAGACTGGAGTGCAATAGCACAATCTCAACTCACTACAACCTCTGCCTCCCAGGTTCAGGTGCTTCTCCTGCCACAGCCTCCCAAGTTGTTGGGATTAAAGGTACATACCACCACACCTGGCTAATTTTTGTATTATTTTGCATTATTAGTATTATTTTTATATTATTAGTAAAATGTATAATTTAAACATTTTGTCCAGGCTGGTCTCAAACTCCTGATCTCAGGTGATCCACCTGCCTCGGCCTCCCAAAGTGCTGGGATTACAGGCATGAGCCACCGCACCTGGCTATTCTTTCTCTTTTCTTTTTCCTTCCTTCCTTTGTTCCCTCCCTCCCTCCTCCCCTACCTCCCTTCCTTCCTGCGTGCCTTCCTTGCTGTTTTTTCTCTTTTCTCCTTCCTTCTTTCCTTCCTCCCTCCCTCCCTCCTTTCTCTGTCTCTCTTGCTCTCTCTCTCTCTCTCTCTCTTTTTTTTTTTAATAAGTTAATTCTAGGGAAATGGCTGCTACATAGACAGAGCAGGGCTACCCCACCTGCAGAGTAGCCTGAATGCCCTTTCTTTGCCAATGATAAAAAGTGAGGGAAAGAACTCAGCTTACCAGTAATGCTACTGTATAAATATACAATTTATTTTTTTGATCTTGTGTCAGGGACATTTGGGTTGTTTCTAGTTTTCTGCTATTCAGAACAATGATACTATGAACATGACTGTATTCCTGTCTTCTGATACATACATGCAGTGTAAGAGTTTTTCTTATGCCTAGAAGTGTTAAGATGTATGACCCATACATCTTTAAAACATTTATACTAATTATCTCTTCCAAGTGAAGTCAATATATATGAGGTCTTCTTGCACCAAATCCTCACCAATAGTATTGCTGAAGTTTTAAAATCTTGCCCATCTTTACCAATCTTACCAATTGTTTTTTAATGGAATAATAACATCCATATGGTAAAGTAACATCCATATATACATATGGTAAATAACATACATATCTTAAGTGTACTCAATGAAATTTGACTTGTATAACTGCTTCCCAGAGCAAGATACAGAATACTTGCAGCACCACAGAGGGTTCCCTCGTGCCCCCTTCAGTCAATACCTGTCACAAGAATAACCACTATCTTATCTCCACAGCTTAGTTTTATCTATTCTTGAACTTTATATACATGGAATCATATAGTATGAACTCTTTTGTTGTGGTTTCTTTAACTTAACATTAGATTTTTTAGTTTAATTCAGATTGCTGTCATCTATTTTTTGATGTTTGCTTCATATTGTATGGTCTGATGAAATTATTTTTTAATCCAATTTAACTCTCAAACTTGCACATCAAAACGTACAACTGTTACATACTACTGCCATCTAGTGTTGGGCAATCTAAAATGAAGGGGCAATATTTCAAAATGGTTCATTTCACAACACAAATCCCCCTACAAAATTATAAAATATGTTTGATGTGATAAATATAATTATCCTGGTCTGATCACTGTACATTATATGTATTGAAATATCACTATGCACCCATTAAACATGTACAACTGTTGATGAAAAAAACAAAATTAAAACAAAATTTACATTAACAGCCAATCCAAATGAGAGAATAATAAGTCTTCTCAAATGCCAGAGTATAAAACAAAAGTCATATGGGCTCAGTCAGTTCTTCAAGCTCATGTTATAGCTTTAATAAAGCTTACCTTTTTAAGTCCATGAAGTTTTTACAAATACACAAAAATTACTGAAATTGTAGGAACAGGTGAAACCAAAGCAGAAGAAAACATGGGAGAGTTAAAAAAAAATTAAAATTCTATCAAGTCTGCATCATATTTATTTCTTAAAATCCTCAGGGAAATAAGATTTCAGTAGTGGCATTCAGTGTATGCTATTTATTAAGCATGAGGATAATTACCTTTTCCTCTGCATCAGCAACTTTAGATTTCTCCTGAGCCAGCTTTTCCTGTAGGTTGTTCTGTGATTTAATGCTCTGAGTCTGTTTAAGTACTTCCAACTCCAGTTCCTTGATTTTCTGCTGACAATGCTTGCACTCTGCTGTGAGTGAAGAGCACATCTTTGTACTGTCTAATAACTTCTGTTGGGCATGCTTTAGTTCAATCTTTATCTAGAGGTAGAGGATAAATAAGAATAATACAAATAAGTGTGGAACGAATGTGAACGACAATAAGCAGCTTTCACAGGAGTATAGTCCCCTAAAAGCCAACACACACCAACATCATATGGTTGAGTACCTCTCTGGAGGTGCCGTATGTTAGTAAGAGTTTCCAAAGTTTAGTCAGAGGGCAGCCAGACAAAGGAATTTTCCTGATTTCTATATATGCACGGTCTAAAAATTTTCCATCCTTTCTTCAATCTACTCCAAACTGGCTTTCATCCCCACTACTCCAGTGAAACTTTCCACCAAGGATACTAACTGACCTCTTCATGGCCAAATAAATCCAAATGGACAAGTTACCTCTCAGTAGCATTCTGTGATACCAAACTTTGCTGGTTTTCACTTACTTCTCTGCTGCTCTTTCTTGGTCTCCTTTGTAGACTCTTCCAGTGCCAGCTAACATGTAAGTATTATTGAACTCCTCTAGGCCTAGAAAGCGGATGATTTGCTATCCATTTCTATAATATGAAATGCCATTTTATGCCAATAATTACCAAAATGAAACTCCTTGATTCTGCCCATGTCTCCAAAGTCTTTTTTTCCCTGTCTTCCCAATTTCACTAAATAATGCCACCATCCAAACTTCTGTACAGGTCAGTAATCGCTGAGTCTTCCTTTTCCACCGTGAACCAATGCCAACCATGTAGCACATGCTGTCAGTCTATTCCCAAATATACCCTACACTGATCCATTTGGGTGCTCTTTGCCACCACCTTAGTCTAGAGCATCATCTCCAACCTGGGCTATAGCAATTGCCTCTGCACTTGTCCTACCACTTCCATTGTTACTTCCTTCTAATCTATCTTTTAATGCTATGGCCAAATTTTCTTTTAAAAACATAAATTGGACTACTTGACACCCCTGCTTAGAATGTTTCAGTGGTCCCTTACTCCGAATCCCGCCAGCTCACCTGGCTTTGTAAGCTCTTGCCCTTGTCTATCTCTTTAAAACCATCTTATTTCTCCTTCTCCCACTGAACTCCTGTCACACTGGTTTGTATTTAGAGTTTCCGACACACCAAACTTTTTCCACACTTCCCTCTGCCAGAAATGCTTTCCCTTTTCCCTTCTCATTGCATGGTTGCCTGCCTAGTCTTCAGGTCTTAGCTTAAATGTCACTTTGCGGGGGACGATTTTCAGAATCATTTAATCTGAAATGTCCTTACTCATGATATCACTGTACCACATTTACTGCCTTCATCAAACATACCATGATTTATAATTTACCTGTTTATATCCCCTTTTCCCACTTTAAATTCAAAGAAAGCAGAGACTAGGTTTTTAATTCATTTCTTAATACCAATGCCTATCGAAGCACCTACTCACCTACCAGAGAGTAGGTGATTAATCAATTATTTACTGAGCAAGTAAATGAATGATATTCTAAGAAATATCAAAACATGGTGAATGTATATACTGGGCAGGGAAGGCTTATAGACAAAAGTGGTGAGAGAGAATTTACTTTGTTTTATTGGTAAATAGAATTCCCTGTTCTCAAAGCTTTTCAACTGAATTAATAGGGATGATAACTATAATGTCCTTCATCTGTGCTTTCTCTATTTTAACCAGTCAGATTATATAAAGTGAATCTAAAAGTTAATTGTGTTCAACCTCTTTGAGTATCAGTTTCTTCATCTGTAATATAGGGATAATAACTGCTTACCTCAAAAGATAGTAGTGAGGCTGCATTAAATGAGACAAAGCAATTAAAGCATCAAGAATAGAGCCAGACACATAGGAAACACCTAACAAAAGTTAAATGTGGCTATTCAAGAATCGCTTTCAGAATATCTACCGCATTTGAAATACAGAGCTGAGTCATATACTAATATTACTATATTACATTTATTAGACTTTCACATCTATAAAGTGGCTGGGACTGGTATTTTAGCCCATTTTAGAGGTAAAAAACTGAATCTCGAATAGTTGCCAGATGATAGAACCAAGGTCTGAATATAGTTTTCTGATTCTAAGCCAGTACTCTATATTTACTCTAAACTGTGAAATATGTATATTTATTATTTCTCTAAAAAGAATACAATAGAGGCTGGGCACGGTGGCTCAAGCCTGTAATCCCAGCACTTTGGGAGGCCGAGGCGGGTGGATCATGAGGTCAAGAGATTGAGACCATCCTGGTCAACATGGTGAAACCCCGTCTCTACTAGAAATACAAAAAATTAGCTGGGCATGGTGGTGTGTGCCTGTAATCTCAGCTACTCAGGAGGCTGAGGCAGGAGAATTGCCTGAACCCAGGAGGCGGAGGTTACGGTGAGCCGAGATTGCGCCATTGCATTCCAGCCTGGGTAACAGGAGCGAAACTCTGTCTCAAAAAAAAAAAAGAATACAATAGAGTAGATCAATACAACCTTTTGAGAATTCAATATAATTCCAATTGAATTCTCAAAAGGTTGTATGTGAATACATGTGTGTTCTATGTGAGTTCATGCGAGTATGTGTTGTGGCTTAACAAACTGATTATAAAACTTATACAGGAACCCCAAAGGCCTGGATAGCCCAGATATGCCAGAACAACGTAAAAAGATTTGATCTATCAAATGTCAATATTTATGTAAAGCTAAAATTATCTTGACAGCATGGTAGTGGCACAAGGGCAGATAGATAGAACAATGGAGCAGAATAGGGAGCTCAAAAATATACCATAATAGGCTAGGCATGGTGGCTCACACCTGTAATCCCACACTTTGGGAAGCTGAGGCAGGGGGGTGGATCACCTGAGGTCAGGAGTTCCAGACTAGCCTGGCCAACATGGAAAAAACCTGTCTCTACTAAAAGTATTAAAAAATTAGCCGAGTATGTTGGTATGTGCCTGTAATCTCAGCTACTCGGGAGGCTGAGGCAGGAGTATTGCTTGAACCCGAGAGCCAGAGGTTGCAGTGGGCTGAGATCATGCCACTGCACTCCAGCCTGGGTGACAGAGCGAGATCCCATCTCAAAAAAAAAGTAAATAAATAAAAAATACATACATACATACATAGAGGATAATGTAGAATAGCTTTATGACTTTGAAGTAGTAAAAAATTTATTAAATCAGACCCCCAAATCACTAGTTATAATGAAAAATAATGATTATTAAAATTCAGGCTGGGCACGGTGGCTCATGCCTGTAATCCCAGTACTTTGGGAGGCCAAGGCAGGCAGATCATGAGGTCAAGAGTTTGAGACCAGCCTGGCCAACATAGTGAAACGCCATCTCTACTAAAAATACAAAAAAATTTAGCTGGGCTTGGTGGCGGGTGCCAGCTATCCCAGCTACTTGGGAGACTGAAGCAAGGAGAATTGATTCATCAAAAGAAATTTATGGAGAATGAAAATGCAAGCCACAGAATCAATGTCTGTAATACATACCTGATAAAGGATTCATGTATTTTTAAAAACTCTATAAATTAATGAAAAATTAAAATCACAGAAACTCAAATTAAATATGAACAAAATCTTAACAAGTACTTCACAAAATAGAAACTCAAATGCCAAATAAATGTATAAAAAGCTGCTCAACCTTGTTTACAAACAGGCAAATGCACACTAAAACCACAAGGAACTACCGCTGTGTATGTATACTAGGCTTGCAAACATTTTAAGTCTGACAGTTCCTCGAGTTGGTGAGGATGTAGAGCAATGGGAACCTTCAGACACTGCTGGTGGAAGACTTTAGAAAGAGCTGAAATAATACATATGCTATGATAAAATAATTCCACTCCCAATTTCTTCCTAGAGGAATGTGTACTTATGGACATCAGGATACACATGCATGAATGTTCTTTGCAGCAGTCTTTAAAAAGTAGAAACATTGCTCAATTCTATTCCTCTATCTTGTGACACAGGAAAGAATCTGATATTCATTAACTGAATATATCTGAAATAATGTGCTGTTATACCCTCTGTTCAAAGGCAAAACTCCTTCAGTAAAAGCTGCTTGACTGTGTAGAGTGCTTAGCTTATGGAACTTCCTTTCCTCATTTTGCATTAATTTTTGAAGACCAGAAATGCCATTTCCGAAAATGTTAGTGGACACATAAAAATGGTCATATGCTTTGTTAAACAGAATGAAATGAACGTATGTAGAAGTAAAGAATGTATGTAGAAGTAAAGAAATTAAACCTTTGGCAAAATGCCTTAATATCATTGGTGGATCAATGTAGTTCAACAGGAAAAAAACATAATAAGCTTATCTCATTGATATTACCAAAAAGAAATTCTCAATCAAGTTTTAATACATTTCCTATTTTTCCAGTGAAAACCCCTTTCCTACCTTGCCATTCTAAACCAGTTCACCTTCTCTCTCTCTCTCTTTTTTTTTTTTCATTTTATTTTGGAGGGTTGGTATAGCTTTTGAAACTTTAATGATAAGAACAAATCTATTAGCTGTTGATTTCTTCTCAAAAGGCACTCTAACCTTTTAGAAAGCCTAGAAGTTTCATTTTTCAAGAACAATCTTACCATAAAAAACTCAGTAAGACACAGGCAATGAATAGATAAGAAACAAACCAAAGAACAAGAAGAAACCAAGTGTTTTGGAATATTTGGTGCACTGAATTTGTTTAAGATTAAGAAGCCTAAAGTTCTCATTGTAAATAGAAAGGGTACAAGTCTTTTCACAATATGCTGCCTATTTACTCCACAGGCCAAGAAAGGTAAAGGCTTTGGGGCCTATGATCAAAGAGTCAACACTTAGGGTTTTGGTGATACTGGTAACGATTAAATAAGACAACGCTGGGGCAAACACTGTTAAAGCCAATGACCTGTGCATCCCAGGCAGTTTCTTCAGTTTCAAGTTGGGTCAGTGGAGCACCAAGCAGAGGATCTAGAACAGCATCCTGGTACCGGTGGTGGCAGAGCAGCAACCTGCCTGAAGCTCTGCAAGCCTACAACATTCTTTTTAACATCCTCAAGCTGGAAACATGTAAAATGTCCACAAGCCATATAAAAAATAAAGTATGGTATTTTCTTATGGTAGAATACTACACTGCAAAGAAAATGAATGAGCAATGGCTATACACTACAACATGGATGAATCTTGCAGACAGAGTTATCATAAGGCAGACACAAGGTATATATACTGATTATTTTTTTAAAATAGGGAAGACAACTATATTGTATAGGATTCATAAATAGTTGATAAAACCATAAAGTTAAGCAAGAAAATTATTACCGAAATTAGTGGTTACTACTGGGGTAGAAGGTGATGGGATTATGATGGGAACAAGGTATGCAGGAGACACTAGTGTGCTGGCATTGTTCTATTTCTTGTCCTGAGTAGTGTTTAGATGTCTATTTACTTTATGATGACTAGGTAAACTGTATGTTTTATGTACTTTCTAAGTGTTATATTTCACAATGAAATGGTTTAAAAGCAATAAATTAGCATTTTAATTTCTTTTTTAAAAAGAAAAAGTAAGTTGGGCACGGTGGCTCATGCCTGTAATCCCAGCGCTTCAGGAGGCCGACGCGGGCAGATCACGAGGTCGGGAGATCGAGACCATCCTGGCCAACAAGGTGAAACCCTGTCTGTACTAAAATATAAAAAACTAGCTGGGCATCGTGGCACGTGCCTGTAGTCCCAGTTACTTGACCCAGTTACTTGGGAGGCTGAGGCAGGGAATCGCTTGAACCTGGGAGGCAGAGGTTGCAGTGAGCCAAGATCGTGCAACTGCACTCCAGCCTGGAGTTTTTTTTGAGACTGGGTTTCACTCTGTTACCCAGGCTGGAGTGCAGTGGTGTGATCATAGCTCACTGCAGCTTCAAACCCCTGGGCTCAAGCAATCCTCCTGCCTTGGCCTCCCAAAGCACTACAATTGTAGGCTTGAACCACTGCACCCAGCCAATATTTTTATTTGTTTTTCTTATTTTTAAATTATACTTTAAGTTCTGGGATAAATGTGCAGAACATGCAGGTTTGTTATATAGGAATACATGTGCCACGTTGGTTTGCTGCACCCATCAACCCTTTATCTACATTAGGTATTTCTCCCTTTGTCCCCCACCCCCCAACAGGCCCCAGTGTGTGATGTTCCCCTCCTTGTATCCATGTGTTTAACTTCCACTTACAAGTGAGAACACACAGTGTTTGGTTTTCTGTTCCTGTATTAGTTTGCTGAGAATAATGGTTTCCAGCTTCATCCATGTCCCTGCAAAATACATGAACCCATCCTTTTTATGTCTGTATAGTATTCCATGGTATATATGTGCCATATTTTCTTTATCCAGTCTATCATTGATGAGCATTTGAGTTGGTTCTAAGTCTTTGCTATTGTGAATAGCTCTGCAATAAACATACATGCACACATGTCTTTATAGTAGAATGATTTATAATCCTTTGGGTATATACCCAGTAATGGGATTGCTGGGTCAAATGGTGTTTCTGGTTCTGGATCCTTGAGGAATTGCCACACTGTCTTGCACAATGGTTGAACTAATTTACACTCCCAACAACAGTGTAAAAACGTTCCTATTTCTCTACATCCTTGCCAGCATCTGTTGTTTCCTGGCTTTTTTTTTTTTTTTTTTTTTTTTTTTTTTTTTTTGAGACAGAGTTTCATTCTTGTTGCCCAGGCTGGAGTGCAATGGTGTAATCTCGGCTCACCGCAACCTCTGCCTCCCAGGTTCAAGCGATTCTCCTGCCTCAGCCTCCCGAGTAGCTGGGATTACAAGCATGCACCACCACACTCAGCTAATTTTTTGTATTTTTAGTAGAGACAGCATTTCTCCATATTGGTCAGGCTGGTCTCGAACTCCCAACCTCAGGTGATCTGCCCACCTCAGCCTCCCAAAGGGCTGGGATTTTAGGTGTGAGCCACTGTGCCCAGCCATATCCTGATTTTTTAATGATCATCGTCCTAACTGGTGTGAGATGGGATCTCATTGTGGTTTTGATTTGCATTACTCTAATGACCAGTGATGATGAGCTTTTTTTCATGTGTTTGCAGACTGCATAAACGTCTTCTTTTGAAAAGTGTCTGTTCATATCCTTTGCCCACTTTTTGATGGGGATGTTTTTTTCTTGTAAATTAGTTTAAGTTCTTGTAGATTCTGGATATTAGCCCTTTGTCAGATAGATAGATTATAAAAATTATCTGCCATTCTGTAGGTTGCCTGTTCACTCTGATGATAGTTTCTTCTGCTGTGCAGAAGCTCTTTCGTTTAAAAAATATGGAATGCTTCATGACTTTGTGTGTCATTCTTGGGCAGGGGCCGTGCCAATCTTCTATGTATTGTTCCAGTTTTAGTATATGTGCCGCTGAAGCGAGCATGTATTTTGGTTTCTTAATCAGTCTCCTAACCATGTCTAACATTAGAGACTCAAGTTTGATAATTTGAATGGATTTATTTATTTTTTTTTTTTGAGACAGAGTCTCACTCTGTCACCCCAGCTATATTGCAATGGCCTGATCACAGCTCACTGCAACCTCTGCCTCCCGGGTTCAAGCGATTCTCGTGCTTCAGCCTCCCGAGTAGCTGGGACTATAGGTGTGTGCCACCACATCCAGATAAGTTTTTGTTTTGTATTTTTAGTAGAAATGGGGTTTCACCATGTTGGCCAGGCTGGTCTTGAACTCCTGAGCTCAAGTGATCTGCTCACCTTGGGCCCCCAAAGTGCTAGGATTACAGGTGTCAGCCACTGTGCCCAGCTTCGAGTGGATTTTTAAAAGTGATTTTTAAAACTTTACACTAAGTTTGTAAAGCTGAGGTTCCAAAATGACCCAAATTCAGGAGAGGTATAATATGGAAAGATGTCTACACAGGAAAGAGAGAAAAAGACTTATGTTTAAATTCTGACTCTACAATTTGCTAGCTTTGCAATCTTGAACAGTTTCCTCATCCAAAAAGTGCTGATCTATAGGGTTGTGAGGATGTTCATAAGAGATAAAGTGGACAGGCTGGGCCTGGTGGCTTACACCTGTAATCCCAGCATTTTGGGAGACTAACCCAGGAGGATCACCTGAGGTCAGGAGCTCAAGACCAGCCTGGCCAACATGGTGAAACTCTGCCTCTACTAAAAATATAAAAATAAAAAAATTAGCTGGCTGTGGTGGTGTGCACCTGTAATCCCAGCGACTCAGGAGGCTGAGTCAGGAGAATCTCTTGAACCTGGGAGGCGGAGGTTGTAGTGAGCAGAGATCAGACCACTGCACTCCAGCTTGGGCATCATAGTGAGACTCTGTCTCAGAAACAAACAAACAAAAAGAGATAAAGTGGACAAACTCTCAGTAAAGGATACTTATTGTATATAACTTTCTTAGGTGCCTGGCCTAAGGAGCTAACCAAGAGGCTGATGTCTCATTCCTAAATGGCCAATAAGTTATCTCACCATGGAGATTTAAAATAGACAAAAAAAACTTCTCTTTTTTTAAAAAAAATTTATTGTATGCTCTTTACAAACTGTGAAAAATAAAAATCTTCTCTTGTTACTAAGCTATCATTTATCCATCCCTGAAAGACTGTTCATTAATCCAATAAATATTTATAGGGTACCAATCATATGTAAGGCATTATAACCTGTATAGTTCTGGCCATTGTTCCTTAAGAAATATGTAGTATTGTTAGAATATGTTCAGAGTTAGAAAGTTAAAGTGATCTAAGAAACGTCCTTGAAGGGAAAGTGAAAGGCTGTCTTATGAGAACATGTGATAAAGATTTAGAATTTAATTTAAAACTACAAAGACTTGAAGGAATATGATCAGTCTTCAAAAACTCATGAAGGGTGAGGATAGGGAAGAGTTTTATTCAAATAATCCTGAAATACTAGAACTCCCTAGAAGGGCTTCCTTGAAGTTTGGGATAAACAAATATTTGTTTTCCTCTATATCTCTCCTGCTGGACTGTGGGCTCTTGAAAAGCAGGGACTTTCCTTATCCATGTTTATGTCATTTTTCAAATAAGATCATTTTAACCCGCTAGGCCAGGAGTGGGCAAACTTTTCTCATAAAGGGCCAGGTAATAAATATTTTAGACTTTGTGGGTCATATGGTTTAATCACAACAATCAAATCTCTTACTGTAGCACAAAAGCAGCCATAATATGTAAACAGACAGATCTGGCTGCCAATAAAATTTTATTTATAAAACAGAAGGCAGACAGAATTTGACCTACAGGCCAAAGTTTGCTGACATGGGGATAAGGATTATGTCTATTGTGCCTATATTAAACTCTTAGTGTCTACAAAATTGCACATGAATATTTATTGATTATTGAATTTCAGAACCTTCAATAGAGGCTTACAGAAACTAAGACCTTAAGACCTTAATATATATTTACAGAACTAAGCCATAATTAAAAGTACTATTTAGGGCTGGGCGCGGTGGCTCAAGCCTGTAATCCCAGCACTTTGGGAGGCTCAGGCGGGTGGATCACGAGGTCAAGAGATCGAGACCATCCTGGTCAACATGGTGAAACCCTGTCTCTACTAAAAATGCAAAAAATTAGCAGGGCATGGTGGCGCATGCCTGTAATCCCAGCTACTCAGGAGGCTGAGGTGGGAGAATTGCCTGAACCCAGGAGGCGGAGGTTGTGGTGAGCCGAAATGGCGCCATTGCACTCCAGCCTGGATAACAAGAGCGAAACTCCGTCTCAAAAAAAAAGTACTATTTAATATGGAGGTTAATTTTAAACATTTATGTGGTTCATAAACTTTAGATGAATCCGTGTGTGGCAGTTCTACACATATTATTTTAAAACAAACATTTGGGAGATGTTGCCTTAACTATTTCATGCTGTCGTATTAGGAAGAACAACTTTGCTCTTCCACGAATTGTACCTTGATGCAGTTGAGATTTGCCTGAACCAATAATAATAGATACATCTAATAGGGATAAATAAGTCTAATGATACACAGGGCAGGACAGCTGAGGTTTAGGCTCAGGTCACTAAAGCTTAGTAAGTACTAAAGATTTTAGATGATATTGTCAGAAGATTATGTAATTTAATGCCTTTTTCTATTTACAGGTTGATAACATACACATCCTTACTTAGCAGGGACAAGTTAAAGGAGAAAGTTATCAGACGGTTCACATTGTCCACACATTTATAGATCCTATCATGAATTATCAAGTAGAGAAATTTAGATTCGTTTCTTCCCAGGGCCAAGTGAAACCCTTCCATACAGGATGTGCCCACAAGAGTTACCTTGATGTTTTCTTCCTGAAGTAAGCTATTATGTTGCTTCAAGTCCACGTTCTTCCCTCGTTCATATCGAAGCTCATTTTCAGCTGAGTTGCATAGAACCTGGAGCCGGTGCAAATTCTGGCGAAGTTGCTGTACTTCCTCTTGCTGGTTGTATTTTAGTTTTTCTCCAGATGATGGATGCTAAAGCAAACATTTTAAAAGAGAAACATGGACAATTAGAGGGAATACTGGTAAAACATGGGTTCAAGCTGTCAAAACCAAAATTGTAGAATGTGATTATTCACATGTAAATGTTTTTGGAGTTGGCTTATCTACAACAAACTACTATTTTATATTTATGGATAGTTGGTACATGTTCATATAATACCTGTCATATTAGAGTGAAAATAACAAGAAAATTATGTTAACGAAAGCAGTTAGGCACAGAAAACTAACCTTATTTTTTATATCAATGATAGAAGCACAGACAATTTTAGAGTAAAACACATTTAAAATGGGAAGTTCAAAGACTCTATATGGTAAGAAGTAGGATGAGAGAGTGTGTGCTTGTGTGTAGTGTCTGTTGGAAAAAAAAAAGAAAGAGGAAACTTAGTAAGATACCTAAGTTTCTAGCCTTCCTCATCAGTTTCCTTTTATTATCCTATGATTCTTCTCCCATAAACACACTCCCATAAAACACACCCTTTTAAGGCTGAATAGTATTGCATTTTGTACACACATAGACACACACACACACAAACACACACACACACACACACACACACACACACAACTTCTGCAGATATCTCTTTGACATATTGGTTTCAAATCCCTTGGATATATACCTGGAAGTGGAATTACTGGATCATATGAGTAGCTCTACTTTTAATTTTTTGAGGAACCTCCATACTGTTTTCCATACTGGCTGTACTAATTTACATTCAGACCCACAGTTGTGAAGTGTTCTGTTTTCTCCACATCCTTGCCAATACTTACCTTTTGTCTTTTTGATAAAAGCCATTCTAATAGGTGTGAAGTGATATCTCCCTGTGGTTTTAGTTTGCGTTTCCCTAATAATTCACGACGTTGAACATTTTTTCACATACCTGTTGGCCTTTTGTATGACTTCTTTTGAGAAATGTCTATTTGCATCCTTTGCCTATTTTTTGACTGGATTATTTGTTTTCTTACTATTGAGTTGTTTGAGTTCCTTATATATTTTGGATATTACTCCCTTATCAGATGTATGATCTACAAATATTTTCACCCATTCTGTAGGTTGTCTCTTTACTCTATTGACTGTTTCCTTTGCTGTACAGATGCTTTTTAACTTGACACAACCCCATTTGTCTATTTTGCTTTTAGAGTCACATTCAAAAAATCTTTGTCAAGAAAAACGTGAAATATTTTCCAAAAGTGTCAATCAATGGATGAATGGAAAAGAAAATATGGTATAGACACACACACACACACACACACATGCACACAATGCAATACTGTTCAGCCTTTAAAAAGACAGAAATTCTCTTGGCCCCTAATCTCTTCTGGCTTATAGAGAGTTTCTGCTGAGAGGTCCACTCTTAGACTGATAGGCTGCCCTTTGTAGGTGACCTGGCCATTCTCTATGGCTGACCTTAACAGTTTTTCCTTCGTTTTGACCTTGGAGAATCTGATGATTATGTGTCTTGGGGTAGATCTTCTCATGGAGTATCTTAATGGTAGAAGAGCCCTCACTTTGGAATTAGATACACCTGTGTTTCAATCCTGACTCTACTACTTATTAATGGGTGATCCTGGAAAGATTACTTCATCTTTCTATACTTCAATTTCCTTATCTTAAGATGTGGATAATAATGATTACTGCTGGATGGGGTGAAGAGTTAGTAAGATAACACATGCAAGCACTTAGCACAATTTCTGGCACTTAATAAGCACTCAATAATGTTACGCATTACTGTTTATGCTTCCTAAATTTACTTTAACTGTCTTCATTTTCCATCTACAAACAACCTGGAATGCCTTGATCACCATTCTACCTTCTTGTTTAACCATTATATAACAGCTTTTAACAATTAATTCATAATCAATAGCCTATAGGACCATTTAACATACCAAAGCAGAGATACTATATACAAGAGATGCACCCCATTTTTACCAAGGGAACAAAGGCCCAAAAGTTTTAGCTTCTTTGGAAGGCTGGAAAAACCAGAACAGCAGTTCTTCCCATCTATATTTTCCAGGTCAGCTACTCTGCCAGAGTAGAAATGCAAATTAGTTTTCGACACAGTCAGCTGTTGAAGCAGCTAGACAAGCAGCCAACAAGAGTCTCTATTTTTTTTTCCCACCATATAATCCTGGTAGAAAGTTACTTCAGAGCATATGTGCTCAATCAGGTTACCAGAAACCACATAAAAGAGAAAGGTAAGTACACAGGGGTCTTTTTTTTTTCTCAATCAACAGATCTATTATGCCAATTAATTCATAATCAACAGCCTATAGGACCATTTAACATATCAAACTTCATTTATTCATCTGTAAATTAAAGACTTAAGACCAGATGATGCCTAACATCTTTTCCAGCTTCCTTAAGAATTAAAATAAAACAAGTTGGAACTAGCCTTAACTATCCTGATTTTATCAGCTTTTAATATTTTAAAATAATAAATATTAAATACAAATGAACTTCATAGACTGGTGTAGGGATCCATGAGCCCCACACGTTGGGCGCCAGAATGAAGGGAACCAGCCCTACATCACCCATGGGTACCCTGAGTTCAGTGGGACAAAGGAATGAGAAAAAAATAGATTAAGAGAGAAAGTGGGACCAGGGGGCTCTCAATTTTTTACTTTGGAAGAGACAGTAAAGGCCCCTAACTCTGATCATCCACACTATTTATTGGTTATAATCACTTTGATCTACAGGGTAGGGGTGGATGATGGTGGAGTGAATTAGTGAGCCAGAAGTGAACCAGTGAGACAGAATTAGTATGTCATCCTAAGGATTGATAACAGTGGCAATTTGGGAGTTTCACAAAACAAGAACATGTGGTTATCTTTAGCCTATTATCTATGTGCAGCTGATGGAATGCAGGCCTTACCTGGAGCCTACAAGTCTGGCTACACTATAGTGCTACGAAGGGGTTTTACATCCTTGAGCACAATGTTTATGGTAACAAAGCCTAGGTCACCCTGCACTGGAACATGAGGCATGGAGAGGCCTTCCTCCTTAGAGGAATTGGTTATGTTACTCATACCCAATTTATGTAGGCACTCTATAAGTCCTTTCTCCTTTGCTTCTTTTTCCAACACACTGGTCCCAATGGCAAGTTCAGTCCTACAGTGACAATAGATAGGGTGAAGACCACTGGCTAAGAAAATATTTGATCATCTTTGTGACCACAGTGTTCAGCTTCTGCTCAAGCTTCCCACACTGACCAGTGTCCACTGAGCAATGTCTATCTAGAGCTGGAAAAGTAATCTCTTCTTAAATATTTGATGTCATGCTCCCCTTTGGTCTTCTGAACAAACTGAGTGACTCCTTTTCCTTTCACAGGTGTATCTAAATCTCCTTACAGGTATATATTTTCCTCTTTTACAGTGACTTGTCTAGTTTTGAAACTCTGTACCTGAATTCTTTCAAATATATTTTTGACTTCCTTTATTGTTACACTTTCTTTTTCTAAATGTATACTTGAATCACATTTCAAATGTGTATTATCAGCCTTCTGCAGTAGGTTTACTTATGATTACAAAGGCTTCCTTCTGTGGACCTTAAAATAATTTCTGGAAAGGTATATGTAGAGAAACCTTAATTGTATAAGAGAGAACCTGCAAAATTCAGGTATAAGAACTGAAGTGGCTGTAGTCACTCCCTTTATTTCTCCTACAGACAGATCCCTAGTAAAATAGCAAAAGCCATAATTAAAATAATAAAATGTCTGTCATCTTTTCCCCACTAAAACAAAGTACTTTGTCTACTAAGCTACATACTAGAAATGGAAAATGTGGCACATCCTACCATCCCCAATCCTACCTGGCTAGGGCAGACATCAACAGTCAATCAGCAATTTTTCTGCTAAGCTTAGATGGCATTTAAGAACATTTTATAACAAACGACATCAACTGACAGACTTAGTTCAGATTTTATTTGCTATTTTCCTGCTCACAAATATATATATAACTCAAAGAGTGAAACTGGATTGTTTGTAATACAAAGGATAAATACTTAAGGGGATGGATGCCCCATCCTCCATGATGTGGTTTTTATGCATTGCATACTTGTATCAAAACAAATATATATACCTACTGTGTACCCATAAAAATTTAACAATTTAAAAAAATACACATATAAGAATGATGGTATTTAAAATGATGCTTATATCCACAGCCAATCAGAGGAAATGAACCCAGTCAGTGCCTGTGTTTATATTACCTACCTGGGCACCACTGTCATCTGAACTATCCCCAGAGCTCTGAGACTGAAGGAGGCTCTGATTTATATGGCTCAGCTCTTCTCTATGCCTCACAACCTCCTCAGTCTTAATGGTCAACTGCTGTTCTTTTTCTTCATCTTTCATATCTCCATTCTGTTGTGAGCCCTCCTCCTTCTGCCCCTCTTTTGGGAAAGTGCCCTCCTTTACTGACTCCTCTGGAATTTCCTTCTGCTTTCTTTCTCCTAATTTGAGACTTGGTGCAAATATAAAAAAAAAAATCTATCAAAATGCTTATTATAGTAGTAGAATCTATAGTAGTAGGAAAAAAGCTACAAGTCAAGACAGTATTGCAAACAAGATTTTCAACCTAAATTCTATGGCGCAGCAGTCATTTTATTCTTAAAAATAAACTTTAAAAACAGATAAGTAGGCCAGGTGTGGTGGTTCACACCTGTAATCCCAGCACTTTGGGAGGCCGAGCCATATAGAGAAAACACAAAGAATTGTATCAACTGGGCACAGTGGCTTATGCCTGTAATCTCAGCACTTTGAGAGGGTGAGGTGGACGGATCACCTGAGGTCACGAGCTGGACACCAGCCTGGCCAACATGGTGAAACCCCATCTCTACCAAAAATAAAAAAAATAGCCAGGCATGGCGGTGCATGCCTATAGTCCCAGCTACTCAGGAGGCAGAAACACAAGAATCACTTGAGCCTGGGAGGCGGAGGTTGTAGTGAGCCAAGATTGTGCCACTGAATTCCAGCCTGGGTGACAGAGCGAGACTCCATCTCAAAACAAAAATAAAAACAGAAACCGATAAATGAGTCATATTTTTAACTTACATTCAGGGAGATGATCCATAATAGGTTTTCATTTATAGCCAAACCACCACTTTAAATGAAATTTATACTTTTTCAACTTAGTATGGCATTGAGCAGACACAGGTTATAAAGATTTTAATAAGCACTAGCCACTTTGGTAGGCACTAGGGCTTCAACAGGACATGATTCCTGCCCCAAGGAACTTACAATTTAGTGATGAATGAGGATAAGAAAGGAGCTTACAATTAAGTGAGGAATGAGTAGTAAGTAATACAAGGCCTGATGGATGAGTAGACGCAAGCTAGACAAATGTAAAAGGAGGAAGGAGTGTGTATGTACTTGCATGTGTGTATGGATTTTGGGGAGGGTGGGTGTTGGTAGAGAAGAGAACATGAACATACAAAGATGTTTCAAAATGCTTTAATAAATAAGATGTATAAAACCCCAGCAGCAAAAGAGAGAATGTGCTTTAGAAAGATTATCTGGATGCCATGTGGCAGGGAAACCATTTGAGAGACTGTTGTAATAATCCATATAATAAATAACAGTGAATAGAACTGTGATGGATTCTGGAGATATTTAAAAGACAATATTGATAAAGTCTGTCATTTATTGGATGTGGCAGGTAAGGGAGAAAAAGGAATTGCCATGACACCTGGATTTCTGACTGGGTCAAATAGGCAAGCAGATGGCAGACCAACATGGGGTAATGTGGCTGTAAACTGACTACAGTGATGTTGGTGGTGAAGACACAGATACAGAAAAATGTGAGCAGAAACACTGGGGTTGGATAAACGGAATCAGGGAGAAGGGGGAAAGTAACAGGAGGAGGATCATCATAAACAGAAGCCTAAAAACTTGTAAGGAATAAGCAGAGGAGGTAAAAGCCACGGAAACCAAGAGGAGGGAATGCACCTTCAATGGTCGGAGAGTGTGGATGACAAGGAGAATGAACACAAATATGCTGGTTTTAGTTTTATTCCTTCAGTCTTAAATTTTGTTTTGAGTACCTTGAAACCTAGCACAGCACACTTCACAGATTATAGTTGGTGCTCAAATTCTTTAAGAAATCAATTTGGCAATACAGATCAAGAGCCATGCCCAGGCACGGTGGCTCACTCCCGTAATCCCCAGACTTTTGGAGCCCGAGGCGGGTGGAACACCTGAGGTCAGGAGTTTGAGACCAGCCTGGCCAACGTGGTGAAACCCTGCCTCTACTAAAAATACAAAAATTAGCCAGGTGTGGTGGCACATATCAGTAGTCCCAGCTACTTGGGAGGCTGAGGCGTGAGAATAGCTTGAACCCAGGAGGCGGAGGTTGCAGTGAGCCAAGATCACACCACTGCCCTCCAGCCTGAGTGACAGAGGGAGACTCTGTCTCAAAGAAAAAAGTGCCATAAAAATCTTCAGACTCTGAATAATTGCATATCAATGAATTTATTGCAATAAAATAATTCATAAGAAAAAAGACTGTACAATAATGCTCATATTAAATAAATAGAGATCTGGAAATGGCTAAGAGAATTAAAAATGCTTCAATTTAAAAGTGACATTCAAGATATTCATAAACAAGAAAAATACTTATCAAAGTTAAAACGTGGCACAAAACTCAATAAACACACACACACACACACATATATTCATGTGTGTACATACATATATACATACTATGGAAAAATGTCTAGAAAAAGCTGGAAAGCAACAGGGAGAAAAATTGTGTCTAGGGAGTGTCTTATTCTTTTTAAAATTCCTATAAAGAAACATTTTATTTTGAGTTTAGCAGTTTTTAAAAGATAAATGATACAGAACAGTATAAGATAAATTTGATTACTCATACGTCCTTTAAGAATATTTTCTGGAGCCAGGCAAGAAAAAGAAATAAAGTGTATTCAAATAGGAAAGGAGGAAGTCAAATTGTCTCTATTTGCAGATGACATGATTGTATACCTAGAAGACCCCAATGTCTCAGCCCAAAATCTCCTGAAACTGATAAGCAACTTCAGTAAAGTCTCAGGATACAAAATCTATGTGCAAAAATCACAAGCATTCCTACACACCAATAACAGACTTAAAGGGAGCCAAATCAAGAACAAACTGCCATTCACAATTGCTACAAAGAGAATAAAATACCTAGGAATACAACTAATAAAGAACGTAAAGGACCTACCTCTTCAAGGAGAACTACAAGCCACTGCTCAATGAAATAAGAGAGGACACAAACAGATGGAGAAACATTCCATGTTCATGGTTAGGAAGAATCAATATTGTGAAAATGGCCATACTGCCCAAAGTAATTTACAGATTCAATGCTATCCCCATCAAGCTACCAATGAATGACCTTCTTCACAGAACTGGAAAAAAACACCTTAAACTTCATATGGAACCAAAAGAGAGCCCGCATAGCCAAGTCAATTCTAAGCAAAAAGAACAAAGCAGGAGGCATCACACTACCGGACTTCAAACTATACTACAAGGCTGCAGTAATCAAAACAGCATGGTACTCGTATCAAAACAGAGCTTTAGACCAATGGAACAGAACAGAGGCCTCGGAGACAATACAACATATCTACAATCATCCAATCTTTGACAAACCTGACAAAAACAAGCAATGGGGAAAGGATTCCCTGCTTAATAAATGGTATTGGGAAAACTGGCTAGCCATGTGCAAAAAGCAGAAACTGGACCCCTTTCTGACACTTTACACTAAAATTAACTCCAGATGGATTAAAGACTTAAACATCAGACCTAACACCATAAAAACCCTAGAAGAAAATCTAGGCAAAACCATTCAGGACATAGGCATAGGCAAGGACTTCATGACCAAAACACCAAAAGCATTGGCAACAAAAGCCAAAATAGACAAACGGGACGTAATCAAACTCCACAGCTTCTGCATGGCAAAAGAAACAGTCGTTAGAGTGAATCGGCAACCAACAGAATGGGAAAAAATTTTTGCAGTCTACCCATCTGACAAAGGGCTGATATCCAGAATTTACAAAGAACTAAAATAGATTTACAAGAAAAAAACAACCTCATTCAAAAGTGGGCAAAGGATATGAACAGACACTTTACAAAAGAAGACATATATGAGGCCAACAAACATATGAAAAAATGCTCATCATCATTGGTCATTAGAGAAATGCAAATCAAAACTACATTGAGATACCATCTCACACCAGTTAGAATGGCGATCATTAAAGAATCTGGAGACAACAGATGCTGGAGAGGATGTGGAGAAATAGGAACACTTTTATACTGTTGGTGAGAGTGTAAATTACTTCAACCATTGTGGAAGACAGTGTGGCAATTCCTCAAGGACCTAGAAATAGAGATTCCATTTCACCCAGCAATCCCATTACTGAGTATATATCCAAAGGATTATATATCGTTCTACTATAAGCACACATGCACATGAATGTTCACTGCAGCACTGTTTACAATAGCAAAGACCTGGAACCAACCCAAATGCCCATCGATGACAGACTGGACAGGGAAAATGTGGCACATATACACCATGGAATACTATGCAGCCATCAAAAATGGTGAGTTCATGTCCTTTGTAGGGACATGGATGAAACTGGAAACCATCATTCTCAGCAAACTGACACAAGAACAGAAAATCAAACACCGCATGTTCTCACTCATAGGCAGCTGTTGAACAATGAGAACACATGGACACAGGGAGGGGAACATCACACACTGGGGTCTATTGCAGGGAGATAGGGGAGGGATAGTGGAGGGTGGGGAGTTGGGGAGAGATAGCATGGGGAGAAATGCCAGATATAGATGAAGGGGAGGAAGGCAGCAAATCATGCTGCCATGTGTGTACCTATGCAACAATCTTGCATGTTCTTCACATGTACCCCAAAACCTAAAATGCAATTTTAGAAATTTAAATTTAAATTTTAAAAAAAGAATATTTTTTGGCTGGGTGCAGTGGCTCATGCCTGTAATCCCAGCACTTTGGGAGGCTGAGGCAGGCGGATCACCTGAGGTCAGGAGTTCAAGACCACCCTGATCAACATGGAGAAACCCCATCTCTACTAAAAACAAACAAACAAATTAGCCAGTGTGGTGGTGCAGACCAGTAATCCCAGTTACTCAGGAGAGTGAGGGAGGAGAATTGCTTGAACCCAGGAGGTGGAGGTTGCAGTGAGCCGAGATTGTGCCACTGCACTCCAGCCTGGGCAACAAGTGTGAAACTCCATCTCAAAATAAATAAATAAATAAAAAGAATATTTTTTGATTCATTAGTCTGGGCCAGGGCCCCTGCTTTGTGTTTGCACAGTACCCAGTACTGCCTTATTTAACCATCTTTCTCCATCAGACGATGTGGACCATAATGATAAGAAACTGTGTCTTATTGTATATCCTCAGTACCTACCTACAGTGCCTGGCACATCGTAGATACACAATGGCTTGCTGAATGTGGTTGTGTTATGGACCCATGATGAGGGGAGGCTGTGAAGAGGGGAATAGGAGATAAACAAGCTGGAAAACATTATGAGAAAAAAAGAGGAGGAGGCAGAGGGTAAAAATTTAGACTTTTCAGAGTCCCAGTTATGGGAAGCAGATTGGACCAAGTCTTGGAAACAGGTGGCATCAAAGAGGTCTGAAGAGGGAAGGCCATAATCTTTCTCATGGCAAAATTTCCCACCCCTAGATGAATTAAAGCTACATCCTTGCTCCCCAAGGCAAGTATCTCTGCCAATTACCCAAAATCACCTGGGTGGACTTTTGTCAGATTTGATCATTTATGTCAGCTCCTTCTTGAAGAACTTTCAGATTGACCATTTCATTTTCATTGCCACTTACTCAATGTAGGCAACTATTTCTTCATCTATCACTCATATATAGATTAATTGGTCTATCTTCCATCTCCATTTTATCTAATATAGATACTAGAACAATCTTCCTCAAAAATCCTGTAATACACTCTTCCAGTGCTCAAGAACTAGACTTTCTTTTTCCCAACACAAACCTAAATCTAGCTTCTTGGCTCTCTGTTCTTGTGACCATTATCATACCCCTTCCCCATCATCTCCCAAGATACTCTCCCACATCTGCAACTAGGTTTTACAATTGTGAATCTTGGGCTCAAAGCTTACTCTAAAGTTAAAAGCAACAATTTTTTTTTTTTTTTTTTTTTTTGAGATGGAGTCTCGCTCTGTCACCAGGCTGAAGTGTTGTAGCACAATCTGGGCTCACTGCAACCTCCGCCTCCCAGGTTCAAGTGATTCTCCGGCCTCAGCCTCCCAAGAAGCTGGGACTACAGGTGCACGCCACCACACCCGGCTAAGTTTTTGGATTTTAGTAGGGACTGGGTTTCACCATGTTGGCCAGGATGGTCTCAATCTCCTGACCTAGTGATCTGTCCACCTTGGCCTCTCAAAGTGCTGGGACTACAGGCATGAGCCACCATGCCCAGCCAAATGCAACTTTTAAGAGGGCATAATATTCAGAGACCCCAAACTGGCAAAACAGTCTCCTTCTATCTTTAGAACATTTACAAAGATATAAATTTGTCTACTCCTAGACTATATTTTCTCACTTTACTGATGAATGTATCCTTTAGTATGGTATATGCCAAAATTGACATCTATTGTTTCCTTTTGGTTATTTCATTCTAGACTTTTTCCAAGACAAAATTTGATTGCAACTATTAGCTTTTGTGCCCAAGCAGAGTAGTGCACTTGCCAAAGCCTCATGTTTCTGTGAAAGGTACTTTTGGTTAAAAAAGTAGAAGTACAGGAGTTAGAGGGCAAAATTAATAAGATAGATAAATAAAAGAAAGGTGCTCAAAAAAGTATCAAATGCAACGTTAAATAAAGACAGCAAAAAAAAAAAACTCTGTAGAGTATAATCTTAATTATGTAAAAATATACATATATGTGTATGTATACAAAAAAAAAAAGGAAAAAAAATTAAGGTAACATCTTTCCCTGGTGAGAATTGAGGGTTGTTCTAATCTCTTTATACTTTTGCATGCTTTCTAAATCTTCTTTTAAAAAGCATATATTCTTCTTCTTCTTCTTCTTTTTTTTTTTGAGATGGATTTTCACTCTTGTTGCCCAGGCTGAAGTGCAATGGTGTGATCTTGGCTCGCCACAACCTCTGCCTTCAAGCGATTCTCCTGCCTCAGCCTTCTGAGTAGTTGGGATTATAGGCCTGTGCCAACACACCTGGCTAGTTTTATATTTTTAGTAGAGATGGAGTTTCTCCATGTTGGTCAGGCTGGTCTCAAAATCCCACCCTCAGGTGATCTGCCTGCCTCAGCTTCCCAAAGTGCTGGGATTACAGGCGTGAGTCATTGTGCCCAGTCACATATATTCATTTTTTAAAAGCAGGAAAAAAGATTTAAAATGTAATAATATATCAAAAGACAAAATTTTTGGAGAACGTTTATAACTAATTTTTCCACTCACATAATTTGGAAATGAATATCAAATTATTATTATTATTTTGAGACAGGATCTGACTCTGTTGCCCAGGCTGCAGTGCAGTGACACAATCATGGCTCACTACAATCTCTGCCTTCCAGGCTCAAGCAATCCTCCCACCTCAGCCTCCTGAGTAGCTGGGACTACAGACACAGGCCACCATGCCTGGCTAATTTTTGTTATTTGTAGAGACGGTGTTTTGCTATGGTTCTCAGGCTGACCTCAAACTCCTGATTGAGCTCAAGTGATCTGTCTGCCTCAGTCTCCCAAACTGCTGGGATTACAGAAGTAAGCCACTACACCCAGCTAAATGTCAAATTCTTAATAATGATCAAGCCAAATAAAATATATGCCCTCCAAATAATTAATGTGATATATGATATTTCCAATTTACCAGAATTCCTCTCTCTCTTCCTTTGGGGTTTGAATTTCTGCTTCCAAAATTGGCTTGTTAGACTCAGGATCTTTACAGATATTTTCACTTTTAATTAAATTAGCAGTTGTAGTTTTTTCCCCTAGAGTAAAATTGTTTAATTGTGCAAATTCTTGTGAAAGCTTCAAGACCTGTAAAATTAAGTGAAAAGACAAATATTCTATTTTGCATACTTTTATTTACAGCTGTGAAAAAAGTATACTGATTTCATTAAATTCTTAGCCGTTGGCTTATATAAGATAAAATTACATCCTAATTGAAGTCTTATTCCAACTTAATACTTTGCAGTGTTATATAACTTAATCAATTTTTTACCATAGGCATAAGGGTAATGTAAATTCCTTTTTTTTTTTTTTTTTTTTTTTTTTTAAATATTTTTGGTCTCTGGAGTTGGCTTCTCAGAGTGCTGTTTAGCATTTGGTTATACCTTTTAACAAGCACAAATATGGGATCTATCAAGTTTTACACTATTACCACGCATTTTTATTTTCAAGTTTTGAATGCACTTCATTGATTCATAAAAGCAATAATATATAATAAAAAATCAATAATATCCTGCTGCCAGTAAACATTATAAAGAATATTAGATATATCTTGCAGAAAAGAACTTTCTTCCATAGTGGTTCTGAAATCACTATAATATAAAAGCATCACCTGAAAAATTTATTAAAAATGTAGTCTTGGCCGGGTGCAGTGGCTCACACCTGTAATATCAGCACTTTGGGAGGCCAAGGCAGGTGGATTTCTTGAGTGCAGGAGTTCAAGACCAGACTGGACAACATGAAAAGACCCTGTCTCTAAAAAAAAATTAGCCATGCATGGTGGTGTGCACCTGTAGTGCCAGCTACTTGGGAGGCTGAGATGGAAAGATGACTTGAGCCTGGGAGGTGAAGGTTGCAGTGAGCCAAGATCAGGCAACCACACTCCAGCCTAGATGACAGAGTAAGACTATCTCAAAAGTAAAAATAAAAAATAAAATATTTGTTAAAGAAAATGCAGTCTTATAGCCCCTGCCCTGAGATTCATTATTAGTGGTCTGGGGGACGCGGGAATGGAAATCCGTACTTTAAATAAGCCTCCCAGGTAATTCTGCAAGTAGATGCTTTGAGAGTCACTGCCTTGCATGATCTGGCAAATCATTTGTTCAGTATTTTTGTTTTGTTTTGGCAAACACATTCTAAAGATTTCCTTTCCTGAAAGGTTACACTATATCTTCATATAAAATGAAAAAACATCTTCCGGGAGTAGAAAGGATGGGTGGGGAATGATTCTAAGAAAGAAAGATGAGCTAGGCACAGTGGCTCATCCCTTTAATCCTAGCACTTTTGGAGGCTGAGGTGGGAGGATTGCTTGAGGCCAGGAATAGAATAGAATAGAATAAAAAATAAAAATAAGGAGGCTGAGGCAGGAGAATTGCCTGAACTCAGGAGGCGGAGGTTGCGGTGAGCCGAGATCGCACCATTGCACTCCAGCTTGGGTAACAAGAGCGAAACTCCGTCTCAAAAAAAAAAAAAAAAAGAATAAAAAAATAAGAATAAAAAATAAGAAAGGAAAATAGATTCCCATCAGAGTATTGTGCTAAGGTAAACAATAGCCTGCCTGATTCATATCCTGAGCCTCTCTGAAAATGCAAAGCTTCTACATGTTTGATTCTAAGAACACAATGGACTTAATTATAAAGATCAATTTAAGTTTAAGAGATCCCTTCGGTTTTCTGTGCCTTTTCAGTTCTCTGAAGAGAAACTACAGTGTGTAAAATGGATTATAATATCATAAAATCCATACAATCTCATGTGGACTATAACCTTTCTTTCTAGGGGAAAAGGTTGGTCTTGAACTGGTCCTCTCAAGTTGGGAAGATACGGATAAGAGAAGAGACTACAAATGGCACATTTTAAGTATGGGGAGCAATATGGTCAAAGGCATTGATGTAGAACTGAGTATAGAGTCATTTGGGGGAAAGTAAAGAAGATGATCTCATTGAAATAAAGGCTACAAAATAAGGAGCTGCAGAAATAAGGCAAGATTGCAGGAGTGTGAGACCAGCTTGGCCAACATGGTGAAACCCCATCTCTACTAACAATAGAAAAATTAGACAAGAGTGGTGGTGCATGCCTATAACCCTAGCTACTCAAATGGCTGAGGCATGAGCATCACTTGAACTTGTGAGGTAAAAATTGCAATGAGCTAAGAGTGTGCCACTGCATCCCAGCCTGGGCAACAGAAACTCTGTCTCAAAAAAAAAAAGAAAAAAGCCAGGTGCAGTGGCTCATACCTGTAATCCCAACACTTTGGAAGGCTGAGGCAGGTGGATCACAAGATCAGAAGTTTGAGACCAGCCTGGCCAACGTAGTGACACCCTGTCTCTACCAAAAATACAAAAAATTAGCTGGACATGGTAGCTGGCGCCTGTAATAGCAGCTGCTCAGGAGGCCAAGGCAGAAGAATCACTTGAACCTGGAAGGCGGAGGTGGCAGTAAGCCAAGATAGCATCATTGTACTCCAGCCCTGGGGACAGTGTGAGACTCTGTCTCAAAAAAAAAAAAAAGGAAAGAAAAGAAATAAGGTAAGATTGAAAAGAGAGGTCAGATTATAAAGGAACCTAAAAAACAATTTTCTTAATGAGCTTGCATTATTTTTGTAAGCAGGAAAAAAGATTCCAAAATGCTACTTAATCATTAACCTTTATGGTCATTGTAAAAATGTAAACATTACAGATAATAAATGTTAGTCTCTTAAGAAGTAAACAAAGACAGCCTGGCAAAATAGGGAGACCCTCTCTCTATAAAGGAAAACATTCAAATTAGCCAGGTGCGGTGGCATGTGTCTGTGGTCTCAGCTCCTTGGGAAGCTGAGGCATGACAATCACTTGAGGCCTTGAGGCCAGGAGGGGGAGGTGAGCTATGATCTTGCCACTGCACTCCAGCCTGGGCGACAGAGAGACCTCATCTGAAGAAAAAGAAGAAGAAAAAAAAGATAATTGTGGTTCTTGCCATTAAAAAAGAAAGAAAGAAAGATAAAACAGTGGCGTTTAGATATGATCTTATAGCACACTGAAACCTGCTGAGGGTTTCTGAAGAGGATGGTGACACTAACACAGAGCATTTTCTAGGTATTCTGAATTCTCACATGACAAAATAAGTGTATATCTTACGTGAGCAGAAGCTTTACTCTTTATAACAAAGAAAGTTAAAGCCATCAGACTCTCCATGACATGGATATTGTGGAACAGGACAAACTCTGTTCCATAGATTTCTTCCTATCAAAATTGTATCTTAGTGGTATAGCTCAATTTAATGATCAGTCATGTTTAAGTAGCATAAGAATTAAGCTGATGGTTCTGCTTTCTGATTGAGGCCTTAGGGTAGGGTAAAAACAGCATAGGCCAAGAATCACTATGTAACTTGGCAGCAGTTTAATATCCCTGAGCCTTGGTGTTCTTATGTATAAACTGAAGGAGTTGGCCTGCATGATCATACTCCTTTCAGCTCTAAAATTCTGTATGAGTCTAGATGTTGTGATCCAAACAAAATGACAGCCTGTAAAATGGGGGCTTCAGGAAGTACATACAATACAACCTCTTTAGCAAGACATCTTTAGATCTAAAGCACTCTATATTCTGAAGAAAACTAGAATATAACCTAAAAATCAAAGATTCAAAATGGAAACTTTTAATGAGTAAAAGTTTGATGGGAAATAGAACACATGTAGTCTCAAAGCATCTCCCCACAAGATATTTATGAATTGCAAAGGGGAAAGGAATAACTTTATAGTGGACAAATCTAGCAGACAGTACCTTAACCAAATGATCAAAGTTAATATCATGAGTAATAGAACAAACATGTCATGTTTCCTGATAAAATACACTGAGAAGGATACAACATTATCTCTGTAGTATTCCTGCTAAAAATAGGTAACCTTAATTACATTGTGAGGAAACATCAGACAAATCCAAATTAAGAGACATTCTTCCAAATCAATGGTCTTGCTATGCACTGCATGTCTGTGTTGACTCAGAGCTCATATGTTGAAAGCCTTACCCTCAATGGGATGGTAGTAGGAAGACACTTTAGCAATAATTAATTCACAAGGGTGCAGCCCTCATGATGGTAGTAGTGCCCTATGAGAAGAGACGGGAAAGAGCTTGCATTCTCTCTCTCTCTCTGCTCTTGGCCATGTGAAGATACAATGAGAAGACAGCTGTCTGCAAATCAGGAAGAATGCCCTCACCAGACACTGGATATGCCAGACATGCCAACATCTTAATCTTTGACTTCCCAGCCTCTAGAACTGAGAGAAATAAATATTTGTTGTTTAATCTACCTAATCTATGGTATATTATAGCAGCCCAAACTGACTAAGGCAGTACTCTTCAAAAATATCAAAGTGGGCCAGGCGCGGTGGCTCATGCCTATATCCCAGCACTTTGAGAGGCCTAGGCAGGCAGATCACGAGGTCAGGAGATTGAGATCATCCTGGCCAACATGGTGAAACCCCATCTCTACTAAAATACAGAAAAAAAATTAGCCAGGCATGGTGATGCACACCTGTAGCCCAGCTCCTCAGGAGGCTGAGGCAAGAGAATTGCCTGAACCGGGAGGCAGAGGTTGCAGTGAGCCGAGATTGCATCAAAAATCTTTGACATGTAAATATTAAAAAATATATATATAGTAAATATATATATATTTTTTATATATATTTATATTTATATATTTATATTTATTTATTAATTATATATATTTTTTAATATTTACATGTCAAAGATTTTTAGGATTTGTGTCTTTCAATGTGTATACATTTGACCTCACAAAAAACAAAACTGAAAAAAATAATGGAGGATGGACAATGGGTTGATCAGAAATGGCTGAAGTAGAGAACTACAGGTGAAACAGGAATGGCACATGATTAGTAGTTCTTGAGGCCTCATGACATATCTATTGAATTCTTTTTGTTGTTTTGCATTTGTTTAAATTTTATGTAATAAAACACTTGAATAAAAACACAAAATTGATCCACTATATATATATATACACACACACACATATCAAAGTCATGAAAGACAAAGACTTTTTTGGATTGAAGGACTTACAGAGACATGACAATTAAATGCAATGTATGATGCTGGGTTAGATCTCAGACTAGGAAAAAAGTTATTTTCTTGCTATAGAGGGGAATAATTGGTAAAATCTGAATACGAGCTATAGATTATAGTATTGTGTCAATATCAATTTCCTGATTTTGAGACTTGTACTGTGATAATATGAGATGTTATAGTTTTTAGTAAACACACATGGAAATATTTAAGGGTAAAGCAGATTATGTCTCCAACTTACTCTCAAAGGGTTTACAAAAAAACGCGTGTGTGTGTGCCAGCGTGTGTGTAGATAGAGAAACAATGATTAGGTAAACACGATACCATGTTAACATTTGGAAGAGTGAAAGTATATGGGAATTCTTTGTACTTTCATAATTTTTTCTGTGAGTCTGATACTATTTCAACATAAAAAGTTTAAGAAAAAAGGAGACCAGATCACCAGAAGAGTAGATCTGGATCTCTTCACTTTATATTATATTCTTCTCATTTCAGCTCATCTGTTAACTTTTTCATTGATACCTTAAAAGGCATGGTCCTTTAACTGTACAACGTGATGATAATTTACCTTGCTGACAAGGTCCCACAAAAAAGTCTTAGTTGTATATTGTGCCTTACATATCTACCTACCCTCCCAGGCAGCAAACCTTATGTTCTGGACTTTTCCTTCCCATGTCACATGCTATCTGATTGATGTCCCAATCCCTCAGCAACCTACTCCTGATTTTCTGGTGTAACAACTACATCTAGGTAAATTAGGCTTTTATTTAGTTATTCACCTTATACATGGTGTTAAAATACAGCCTAATATATTTTCACTGCTGTGTTCAAGACTCCTTAATCTTTAGTCTAGATCAAAAGAGTGACTGAGGAAGGGAATTTTCAGCCAGGAGGAGATAGTGATAACCTAATAGGTGGGACTCTAGAAATCATACAGACAAATTTTCAATCTAGTATTGGGCTAGATGGGAATTCTTTGACGTGGTCAGGCAGCCTCTTTTTTTTTTTTTTTTTTTTTAAGAGATGGGGTCTCACTATGCTGCCCAGGCTGAGGTACAGTTACTATTCACAGGCACATCATAGCACATTACAGCCTCTAACTCCTGAGCACAAGCAATCCTTGCTGGAAGCCATTTTTAAACTTAGGGGACAAGCTTGGATCAGGACATTTGAACATTTTCCTAATTCTAAGCCCAGTTTTCAGTGTAACTGAGAATGATGCATTGATCCTAAATTTTTAAATTGAAGATATTTAAATAAATCTTTTACATTATAGAGAAATGCTTTGATCCTAAATTTTTAAATTGAAGACATTTAAATAAATCTTTTACATTATAATGTGTGCTCCAAAAATTAAGTTGGTGGGAAGCTGATTTAAAGTAAAAATTCACTGATGAATCCTAAGTGCCAAATATTAGTTGAAGCCTGAATATTTAACCTGATATATACCTTAACTGATAATCCACAGTATATGGTAGTATATGGTATATGGCAATTTATGCTGTAATAATAAAAGAAACTCCAATTCCCAAATCATCTCTTGCTTAATTTCCTTTTATCCTATCCTCATAAAAGCTATGTTAAATATTGAACATTTAAATAGCTAACTCAGTCTCACCTTTGTTTCTAATTCAGAATTCTCTTTTTGCAATAGGTCCCATGCTATTAAAAAATGGTCTCTGCTTTCTGATGCCCCTGGAAGATTGTGAACTTCATTATAAAGGCATATGAGCTCTGACTTTGATTTTTGCAATTCCTGATTAAGAAATGAAGACATTTAGTAGAATAAAATAAGATGATTTTCCCCATAAAAGACATAATGCTTTAAGAATGAATCTTGAAATGGTCCTGATAAATATTTTGTTTTAAATATTCCAAACTATCCTTCTGGCAGACCAATGCCTTCCTTAGTAGTTAAAACAAAGTTTATGTAAATCAATTAAATAAACTGAGCATTCTTAGTTTCTATCATTCACAGGTTTAAAGATTTAGTTTCTAGAGTCCTTCCTACTTTGAGCAAGTCTTATATGGAGGTAAACTCTTTAGCAATGCTTGCAATGACTGCCAATAGTTATATTATGTTTCTAAAATGTATCATTTTAGAAGTACCATTTATAGAACAAAGTGCTATGTGGTTCACCTTTAATGTTCTGACAACCTTATAAGAGAATTGTTTAAAGTAAGGCCGAGAGATCTTAAGTGATCTGCCTAAATTCACATAGCCAGGAAGTATAAAGCTGAGATTCCAAATCCATAAATCTGTCTGACTCTGAACTCTGTGGTTTATTTTTATTTTAGAGATGGAATCTCGCTATGTTACCCAGGCTAGAGTGCAGTAGCTATTCACAGGTGTAATGTAAACTGCACTACAGTTCTCAACTCCTGGGCTCAAGCCATCCTCCTGGCTCAGCCTCCCAAGTAGCTGGGACTATAAAGGTGCCATGATGCATAGCTTAAATTCTGTTTTCCTAACTACAAATTATGCTTATTTAATTATATTTAGTGACTTAATTAACCAGGGTTTTCTTTTCTTCTTTCCTTCTTTCTTTTTTTTTCTTCTTTTTTTTTTTTTTACAAATGATGCATCAAATGAGCTTCTTTATGCACTGGCCTTAGTCTGATTTTAAGATTTATATATATATATATATATATATATATATATATATATATTCCATTATATATATATATATATATTCCATTATATATATATAAATCTTACATTATATATATATATATATATATATATATATATATATATAAATTCCATTCCAACACCATTTATATATATATAAATTTATATATATATAAATTGCGTTTTAGGTTTTGGGGTACATGTGAAGAACATGCAAGATTGCTGCATAGGTACACACATGGCAAGGTGGTTTGCTGCCTTCCTCCCCATCACCTATATCTGGCATTTCTCTCCATGTTATCCCTCCCCAACTCCCCACCCCCCGCTGTCCCTCCCCTAGTTCATCCCGGCAGATCCCAGTGTGTGATACTTCCCTCCCTGTGTCCATGTATTCTCAGTGTTCAATACCCGCCTATGAGAGAGAACATGTGGCGTTTGATTTTCTGTTCTTGTGTCAGTTTGCTGAGAATGATAGTTTCCAGGTTCATCCATGTCCCTACAAAGGACACGAACTCATTGTTTTTTATGGCTGCATAGTATTCCATGGTGTATATGTGCCACATTTTCCCTGTCCAGTCCATCATCAATGGGCATTTGGGTTGGTTCCAAGTCTGTGCTATTGTAAACAGTGCCACAATGAACATTCGTGTGCATGTGTTCTTATAATAGAACAATTTATAATCCTTTGGATATATACCCAGTAATGGGATTGCTGGGTCAAATGGAATTTCTATTTCTAGGTCCTTGAGGAATCACTACACTGTCTTCCACAATGGTTGAACTAATTTACACTCCCACCAACAGTGTAAAAGTGTTCCTATTTCTCCACATCCTCTCCAGCATCTGTTGTCTTCAGATTCTTTAATGATCACCATTCTAACTGGCGTGAGATGGTATCTCAATGTAGTTTTGATTTGCATTTCTCTAATGACCTGTGATGATGTGCATTTTTTCATATGTTTGTTGGCCTCATGTATGTCTTCTTTTGTAAAGTGTCTGTTCATATCCTTTGCCCACCTTTGAATGGGCTTGTTTATTTTTTTCTTGTAAATCTGTTTTAGTTCTTGGTAAATTCTGGATTTCAGCCCTTTGTCAGACGGATAGATTGCAAAAATTTTTTCCCATTCTGTTGGTTGCCAATTCACTCTAACGATTGTTTCTTTTGCTGTGTAGAAGCTGTGGAGTTTGATTAGGTCCTATTTGTCTATTTTGGCTTTTGTTGCCAGTGCTTTTGGTGTTTTGGTCATGAAGTCCTTGCCTACGCCTATGTCCTGAATGGTTTTGCCTAGGTTTTTTTTCTAGAGTTTTTATGGTGTTAGGTCTGATGTTTAAGTCTTTAATCCATCTGGAGTTAATTTTAGTATAAGGTGACAGGAAAGGGCCCAGTTTCTGCTTTTTGCACATGGCTAGCCAGTTTCCCCAACACCATTTATTAAACAGGGAATCCTTTCCCCATTGCTTGTTTTTGTGAGGTTTGCCAAAGATCAGATGGTTGTAGATGTGTGGCGTTGCCTCCAAGGCCTCTGTTCTGTTCCATTGGTCTGTATCTCTATTTTGGTACCAGTACCATGCTGTTTTGATTACTGTAGCCTTGTAATATAATTTGAAGTCAGGTAGCATGATGCCTCCTGCTTTGTTCTTTTTGCTTAGAATTGACTTGGCTATGCGGGATCTCTTTTGGTTCCATATGAAGTTTAAGGTGTTTTTTCCCAGTTCTGTGAAGAAAGTCATTGATAGCTTGATGGGGATAGTGTTGAATCTATAAATTACTTTGGGCAGTATGATCATTTTCACGATATTGATTCTTCCTAACCATGAGCATGGAATGTTTCTCCATCTGTTTGTACCAGGATTTTCTTTAATCCTCTCATGTTTTTTCTCTTTCTCTTTTTTTTTTTTTCTGTTTTGAGACAGGGTCTCACTCTGTCACCCAGGTTGGGGTGCAGTGATGTAATCAAAGCTCACTGCAGCCTTGACCTCCTGGGCTCAAACGATCCTCCCACCTCTGCCTCCTGAGTAGCTGGGATCACAGGCATGCAACACCACACCTGGCTAACATTTTAATTTTTTGTGTGTGGAGACAATGTCCCACTATGTTGCTCAGGCTGGTCTCAAACTCCTAGTGATCCCCTTGCCTCAGCCTCCCAAAGTGCTAGGATTACAGGTGTGAGCCATCATGCCCAGCTTGATTTATATGTATATATACACGCACATACTATATATACACATATACATATATATACACATACATACAATATATATGTATGTATATATCCATGAGAGAAAACACTTTGGCTAAATGCAGATTTTTATCAGATTTTTACATTAATGACACAGGATGTTCACTGATTGGTTGGTGAAAGAATGTGGGTTGCGAGTCAGTCTGTGCTGCTCAATGAAGGGAATAGGCTATATAAAATTCACTTTAGGATAGGAGCTACTTGGTATTTTCCCAAAGCCTTGAGGTCAACGTGGGAGGTAAACGCTGATTAGAAAGGCTTAGACAAAAAAGGCAAGAAGGTAGGCGGTGGCCTCCCAAAACCACAGGAAGAGGGTAAATTGCATCGATTTCCTATCTCATTTCACTGAAAATTCCTGTAGGTCATTAGGATGAGATTAGGGGCACTGCAAACTACAAACTGATTGAGTGTCACTGTCCTCTAAATTACTGATTTAGACTTCCATGAACTCAGATCCAGGTCACTCTTCAAAATATAGGCTGATTATGTCTCCTGATTGATCTTTCCATGATGGCAGGACAAGAGGTTAAAACGAGAGATAAGTCTGTGACTCTATGAACACTGTAACAATCAAACATCTGCTAATTAAAGTACGCTTTGATTAGTGCTGGCACTCAGCTTGGAGAAACAACAGAGCTACCCCATTATTATTATAGAAATACATATTCTATACTGTTATAGACTGGATTGTGCTCTCCCTCCCTATTCATATTGTTGAAGCCCTAATCCCCAATATGAATGTATTTGGAGATAGATAAGGTTGATAAGGAAGTGATAAAGGTCAAATGAGGATATAAGGGTGGGGCCTTAATGCAATAGGGTTAGTGCCTTTATAGGAAGAGGAAGAAACACCAGAGCTTGCTCACTTTGTCATGTGAGGACACAGCAAGAAGGTGGCCATCTGCCAGCCAGGAAGAGAACCCTCACCAGGAACTGACTTGGCTGGCACCTTGATCTTGGACTTCCCATCCTCCTGTGAGAAAATAAAGTTCTGTTGTTTGAGCCACCTAGTCTGTGGTATTTGGTTATGGCAGCCCAAACTGAGATACACAGTTATACTTTATTTTAAAATGATAACATGAAATCCCTAAATTAGAACTACAACAAGAAGAAAACAACTTCCTGAATGGTAATACCTCACTTTCAACTTTCAAGGCCTTCTCGGCAGTGTCAAGACCAAATGCCAACTGCTTCTCTCTCTCTCTCTCTTTTGACCACTTACTTTCAAATATTTCATTTTTTTCTTGGCTCATTTTCAAGATCTGTAAAAAGCATTTTAAATAATTAATTATATATATAACAGCAGTGTTTGCAACACATTCTGATAATAACTTTCTAACTCAACAATAAAATCATCTAGGGGATTTATGAACCTAGGAAAACTAGTTTATAGCTCAAAAGATATGTTTTTCTCTCCAAGTCTTAATTTACACAATGGTAAAATGTAGTAACACTTGTTCTACCTATATTATAGCCATCATAGTAGGAATAAAATGTGATTTTAAAAGTATTTTATAAAATTTAATCACCTATCAAATATAAGGCATTATTGAAATCTTTCCAAATTATTTGAAAATAATAAAAATTGGAATTGTAATGATAACAGCTACTTTATATTGAGGACTGACCATATGTCAGACACTACGGTAAGTACGTTACATGCATCACTTCATTTTGTTTTCCAGGACCCCTATGAGATTAGAACTATTACTACATTATTTTTACAGAGGAAACATGTGAGGCTCAGATGTGTTACGTAATTTGTCCAACTTCACACAGTCAGCACTGGGATTCTAACTCAAGTCTAACTTAAATTCCTTACTTTTAATAGCTACCCTATTTAGCCTTGCCAAAGAGAATTTTTTCTTATGTACAAAAACCTATTGGGAGATACAATTGAGATAAAAATGCGACTTAGGAACACAACGAAAACGGCCAATTTCTTTGATGATCACCCTATCATCAAGCAGTGGACTCCTCTCCATTGTTTATTTTTTACATTTTTTTAAAGTTTTATATATGTATACACATACACACACACACACGCACGCACACACAGAGTTATACTTTATTTTAAAATGATAACATGAAATCCCTAAATTAGAACTAAAAGAAGAAAACAACTTTCTGAATGGTAATACCTCACTTTCAACTTTCAAGGCATATATATATATAATGTGGTAATGGGGTTTTGCTGTGTTGCCCAGCCTGGTCTAAAACTCCTAGGCTCAAGTGATCCACCCACCTCGGCCTCCCAAAGTGCTCGGATTACAGGCATGAGCCACTGTGCCCAGCTGACCCCTCTTTACATAAAAGCACACCTGTCAAATGAACTAATTGCACATTTGGTTTGACTAGTCAGGAAGCAGCTGAAATTGGCACATCTATACCCTGTAACTTGGGAAATGCAGAACGGTATGTAGAAACAGCCCTCCCAGTCCTGTTCTACTGGTTTCCAACAGTGGGATCCTGTGCTAGTTACCTCACTTTTCTTAGCCTTAGTTCCTCATATTAAAAATAAGGAGGCCGGGCGCGGTGGCTCAAGCTTGTAATCCCAGCACTTTGGGAGGCCGAGGCGGGTGGATCACAAGGTCAAGAGATCGAGACCATCCTGGTCAACATGGTGAAACCCCGTCTCTACTATAAATACAAAAAATTAGCTGGGCATGGTGGCACGTGCCTGTAATCCCAGCTACTCAGGAGGCTGAGGCAGGAGAATTGCCTGAACCCAGGAGGCGGAGGTTGCAGTGAGCCGAGATCGCGCCATTGCACTCCAGCCTGGGTAACAAGAGCGAAACTCTGTCTCAAAAAAAAAAAAAATAAAAAAATAAGGATAATGATGCCAGGACACATGTGGGCTCCTCGCTCATAGAAAATGCTCCATGACAGTGTATATTATTATTGGATTGTCCCGAATTTTTACATTCATTCATTGGTAAGGCAATACCTTTAAATCATCCTTATAATTTCAACACACTAGTTTATCCTAAATAAATTTGTAATGGGCTCCTTACTGATTGACTACTCCCGGCAAGGTTTTCTGTAACCACTGGTCACAATCATAGGATATATATTCCTGGATCTGTGCCTTCTCCTTTTGCCTATTTTCAGTTATTCTTGAGCATCCTCCTGGTGTCTGTCTTACCTGTATTAGAAAACGTAACTAAAAATTATCCGTTTTTTCTTACCTCATTCAAATCTTGTACTTTGTCCCTTGATTTTTGTACTGGTTTCCCTTCTATCTTCCTATGTTACTGATAATCCAGGCTCTAAAATGGAAGTCTTAATCCAAATAAATCACCAGATACAAAACATCAATCTAAAAAATACTGAAACAACAACAACAACAACAACAACTACATATCTTAAGCATCTTCCTCTGAGGTAACAGCCCTGAAATCGCTACCTAGTAACAAGTTCCACTTCCTGTCTGGTCTTGGATCCTTTAGAGATTTGCTTTATTATGGATTTGAGCCTTTGCTATTGTTTGGTAGCTGAGTCAAAGGGATCAAGTATTAGAAAAATACACTACAGAGTCCTGATCATTCTGAATTAAACTACTAATTTACCTTTCTTATGTTTAAGGTTAATAAAACAAAAATAACAATCCCAAGCTGATGAGTTGGACAGAATGGGGAATGCTACTAGAAAAATGGATACTAAAATTTGAGTGTAACTTTTACAATTCCTCCTGTCTAGTGGTATGAACAAAAGATGTAACCAAGAATCCTGTCCGCTTAGTAGCACCGCACAAGGATATGGAGAAGAATATGTATTTTTTCCCAAAGTAACTTCTCACATCAGCCACCGTCTGCACTGGTGAATATTTTTTCAAATTCACACGTGACATGCTGATGCATTCAACACTCAAGGCAAACATTCCTTTATCCCACCCTTATGTCACCTGAGATGCTTCAGTACAAGGTAGAAGAAACATCTCAACTCTTAACTATGAAACTCCCTTCATTTTCTTTGTCCTTTCCTAGAGTAAGAATGTCACGCATTTTGATGCTGTAATTTTTAAAAGATGCTTTCCCAAAGAATATATATTTAGAATTTACCATAATTTGTGGCACATTGAATATAGTTATGCCTTTAGGCAATTTATGTACTTAATGAGCCCAGTAACAAAAGTTTAAACCAGAAAAACACAAGAAAGGAACGGCAAATAATGTGAGAGATGAGCAATGGGATACTGAGATCTCTGGGTAGCTGAGGGAGCCTACCTGACCTGCCAGACAGCAGTAAACAAAGAGGACTAATGACTTAGGATGGGCTGCCACCAACGACTCTGGAGATGGTGTAACAGCTCAGAATTTTCCACTTTCAATGTTCTACTCTCTGAAAGGTGGAGATCCCCTACTGCTCTGAACTAAACTGTGCTTCCTCAACAAATTTTATTGTTGTCCCACTATGTGCTTGCATTATGCTGTGCCCTCTCACAGGCACAATCAAATGAAATGATGAAGTGCGTTTGTGTGATCATAGCTCACTGCAACCTCTGTCTCCCCACTCAAGCAATCCTCCCACCTTAGCCTCCTGAGTAGTTGAAACTACAGGCACAGGTCATCACACCTGGCTAATTTTTGTATTTTTTGTAGAGGTGGGGTTTTGCCATGTCACCTAGGATGGCCCCAAACTCCTGGACTCAAGCAATCCACCAGCCTTGGCCTTCCAAAGTGCTAGGATTACAGGTGTGAATCATCATGACCAGCCCAAAAATAATGTTTAATTGGATATCCGGCCATTCCAAACCTCAGTCAAGGTGACATATAAAGTTAACCAGTATACCATCTATGCTAGTTCCTTTTTGCATTTATAATAATATGAAAAACTACCTGAGACTGGGTAATTTATAAAGAAAAGAGGCCTAATTGACTCACAGTTCCTCAGGCTGTACAGGAGGTATGGCTGGGGAGGCCTCCGGAAGCTTACAATGATGGCAAAAAGGGAAGAGGAAGGAGGCATGTGTTACATGGCCAGAGCCATAGGAAGAGAGAAAGGGTGACGTGCTACACACTTTTAAACAGCCAGATCTCATGAGAACTCACTCACTATTATTACAAGAACAGCAAGGAGGAAGGTCTGCCCCCATGATCCTATCACCTCCCAACAGGCCACTCCTTCAACATTGGGGATTACAATTCGACATGAAATTTGGGTGGGAACACAAATCCAAACTCTATTACCACCCTTCTACTTTCTTTTTGTAAGAAACAGAAAATAAAGTACAGTAGTCCCCCTAATCTTTGGAAGATATGTTCCAAAACCTCCAGTGGACATCTGAAACTTCCAATGGTACCAAACCCTCTATATACAGTCCTCCCTTGGTAGCTGAGGGAGATTGGTTCCAAGACCACTGAAGACACCAAAATCCATGGATGCTCAAGTCCCTCATATAAAATGCTATAGTATTTTGCATATAACCTACATACATCCTCTCATATACTTTAAATCATCTCTAGATTACTTACAATGCCCAATACAATGTAAAAGGTATGTATATAGTTGTTATGCTATTTTAAAAAAATTTTTTAATAAATTAAGAGATAGAGTCTCATTATATTGCCCAGGCTGGTCTCAAACTGCTGGGCTCAAGCAATCCTCCTACCTCAGCCTCCCAAAGTGCTGGGAGTAAGCCACCATGCCCAGCTGTTCCATATTTTAAATTTTATATTATCTTATTGTCACATTGTTATTTTTTATTTTAATATTTTCAATTCATGGTTGGTTGAATTGGGAGATGTGGAATCTATAGAAATGAAGTGCCAACTGTACTGTTTTTTCCATGTATACAACTAAGATGAAGTTTAATTTGTAGATTAGGCATAGTAAGAGATTAGCAGCAATAAGTTATGTGAATGTGGTCTCTGCCTCTCTAAATATCTCACTGTAGTGTACTTATCCTTCTTGAGATGATGTGAAATGGTACAATGCCTAAATAATGAGGTGAAGGTGAATGTCTTAGGCATTATGACATGGCATTAGACTAATATTGACCTTCTGATGATACATGAAAAGTAGGATCAACTGCTTTCAGTAATCTTGGATCCTCAGCCATGATGACGTCCATGGTTGGATGTCAGGAGTAGGCTAACTAATGCCCATGACTAATGAGTGGACAGTATAAGTACACTGGTTGAAGGGATGATTCCCATCCCAGCAGGACAGTGTAAGATTTCATCATGGTACTCAGAATGGTTCACAACTTAAAACTTATGAATTGCTTATTTCTGGAATTTTGCATTTAATA